GGCCGTTCACAGCATACAAAGGTTTAATCAAGTCCAGTATTTACAGTCCTTACAGCATGTACAGTCGATTAACTACAAAGGTAATAACGCGCTTCTCTCATTTACAATGACAAACTACAGAAAACTACATTCAAGTTTTAGATACAAAGTCTACAGCCTTACTAAATGCGAACTAGGGCTGGTTATATAGTCTTTACAGTTACGCCTTAAGGGGGGGGAAGAGTTCACAGGAGAACGCGAGCATTTTACCGCTGGAATGCTTAAAAAACACCAAATACAGAGGGACACGTGGATAATGAAAAAAAAAAAAGTTCATTATTTCAGACAGAGTAACCTCCCTGCTTGAGGAAACAATGATTTCTCAGTGATTTCTATCAAAACACGGAAAATCTGGGATCCTAACAGAAAAGCGAGTGGGATTTCTTTCCTCCTCTATCATCTCCTTCCATGGGAAGAGAAACAAGAAAATACTGTGTGCAGAAAGATAAAGCAAGCGTACGAAAGGGGATATACCAAAGTGGTACATCCATCCTTTTCCCCAGCACTGCCTTTCTGGAGTTCTCCCTGTTCTGAAAACGTGCTTTTGTGGAAGCAAGACAGCAAGACATTTTGGCTATCAGGGTGCACAAACAAGTGGCGTAAACTCTAACTCGGGAAAAAGTGTCCATCTGTGAATGGGCAGAGGCGGTAGTTTGCAGAACTGACTCTCAAAATACTTTTCAATGTATTAAATAATCAGCTCAGTCCTTTTGACAGTGTAAAAATACTACGTCTTTAGTACTTACATGTTACTTGTAATTCTATCAAATGGTCCTTTTATATTCACTGTGTCATTTGAGATTCTCATGATCAAAACGCAAGTTAACATCCGTACTTTAAAACGGATGGCTGCAGAGAAGCACCGAAGTCCTGGAAACATCACAGCCAACCCTATGCTTATTCCAGTTCTCACCTTTTTTCTTCAGTGCTACAAAGTTTTTGCTCTATCGAGGAGAACTCTAATAATTTGGGCAACGTGTGTACTGATGTCATACTGCAAAACAGGAGAAACTTCCTCTTGTATGGGGATTTGCTGACAGCAGTTGGAAGGTCTGGTTGCATTTTCTAAAACTATTTCAGCTCAGTATATAACCAGGTAAAATGTAAAAACCCCCAGAGTGAAAAATGCAGTATTAATACAGGATCCTTTAGCGCACCAACATTAGAAGCCACGAAAGGTACAATCCAAAGCTGCTGCAATCAGCGGGAAGACTGCTACCGATTTCAGTGACTTCTTGGATTAGGTCCTAACTGGTAAGGAGGCTGAAGTCTACAACGTACTAACGAACAACTGAAACACGCATTCAGACTGCAATATGTGCAGCTTGCGAAAGCAAAGCAAGACTTCTGCCATCTATCGCCTTCACCCAAATTTATGGGAACAAATTCCAGCATGTCTAATATAATTCAGTGGCATGATTCAGTATGATAATTCAGAAATTTAAGTTTATCTGCACTGTACTGACATTAACATAAAATATGAAACCTTATGAACAATCAAAACAATACAGACCACTGAGGAGACACCACAGACACCATTTTAATCAACGTGCAACATAAGTAAATTATACCTCTGAAATCAAGATGCATTAGAATACATGTTGAGCTCCTTGACATTTGTCTTTCCAAGAGACCTTTGGAACATGATCTAACTCTGGCTAAGAAAAATAGTATAAAATCTTTCAATGGGCTATCTAGTAAATTACTAAAAATCTATCCGAAAGCTGATTTTAAACTGTGTTAGGAATCTCCTGCTTTGTCCCTCACCGACTAAGACTATTACACTTCATGCCTACAGAGAAACATGAACCGGAATCGAAGCTTTCCATTATCTGGTACAGAGTACAAGATGTTAACCCACAATGGAGCCTTACTGTCTATTACTCTAGTTATACTCAGATTCATATTGTAATAAAAATGGAAGTCTCCCACTATTACTGAGCAGAAGATTAGCACTTGAGTCAGAACTCAATATGGAAATCCCGATCTTCAGAGTACTAGAGATTACCATACTTTGTATTACTGAGGGCTGAACCCTAAAAGTTAGAGGCCCCGGAGCACCGAGCCTGCCAGTGTTTGGTAGGACTAAGCCCTCGACACATTTCATGCAACTTAATGGCATATTCATTTTTGCTGATGAGCAACATCCTAACACATGTATTGCACCTGACCTGAAAAAAAAAAGCTTTAACTGAATGCAGTTTATGCCGGACATCCTAGCATACCTAAAAGGATTGGAGAACGAGGCTACAGGATCAGAAGTGACACACCTGCTCCCCGAACCATTAAAACTCCAAAGCTCCTGACAAGAGTAATGGAACCTATGGATCACGTATGTTATTAGACCTTTAGCATAAATAGACTGATACTGCTCCCCAGACAGATGAGAGTCGGAAATGCAGCACGTGGATCTGCAGAGCTGGAGGGAAGAAACTTTTTGTCTACAGGAAGTTGTCCTGCAAAATTTGTCAAGGAGATTTTTATGGCTAGGAAGGAAAATACCAGTGGAGATTTGAAGTAAGTGTCTCTGACACTCTTCCAGCAGCATGGACTGAGATAGCGATTACGCCATTAAGCTTCAGGCAGCTTTACATTACAGCCAATCACACTATATACCGCCGCCTGTCATGTAGGCTGCAAAAGACAAATCTTTATAAAAACCTATGTTTAAAGTGTATACTATACATAGTTATATCTTGCATTGTCCCATCTGTACACCGGGAATTTTACTTTCTCTAAGATCTACTAAAACATCCACTGCTATTAAATACTGCAGATTAGGAAGTATATTATCATTTCATAGACAGCTATTTAAAAAACAACTCACTAGGAATTACTGCTTACAGGTGATATTCCTAAGTGTCTTATTATTCAGACTAAATGCACTCTTTAAATGGGCAGAATCTGCTTTTCCTAGCATAATTAGACCACACACAAAGCAAGAACTGTTTTGTAAGATTCTTCTGCTTGGAAAAAGAATATATTGGACAATGCTAAAATGCTATTAACTTTGCAGCAATCATCATCCAGATTTGATGCATTATTATACATTTAATGCAAAATTATAAATATTTTAAATACCTTGTTAAAATTTAATATGCCAGGAAGTTTAATTTTACCATAGTTTACAGAAATTCTTTACCCAATTTTGCCTATCTTAGCCAGCTTGGAGAAAAGCCAATTCATTTCCTAAATACATTTAAACAGCAGGTTAGCATAATGCCATGGCTATTAGGATTGTTAAAAACTCACATTGATACTATGTTACCTAAAAATTCTCCTTAAGTTGTCCATAGGGCAGACAAATAGAGCATAAAAAGTTGCATCTGCTGGTTTGGGGCTTCAGGTGATTACTGTCGAGGTATTAAATAACCTGACACATAAGCGTATACCTACAGACACCCTTTATACATGCATGTCAGCAGAGCGGAGCTCACTATTGAATAAAGCAAACTGTGTTGCTGCCCTCGGAATAGAGCTGGAGACCACGCTCATTTGTTACTTTGCAAAAGCGCGCAGTGAAATTCCCAGGTTTTCTTGTGCACACCTTAGTTTAGACAACACGTACACATACACATCTTTGCAGATTATATAAAGGATGCTGCTTCCTGATATAAAGGACTGGTTGCCCTAAATTTAGGGTGGCTGCATTACATATGAGATGTTATATATTCAGCTTAGGGCTAGTAGTGAGAACAGCAAAAAGAGAAGGTAACAAACAGCCTTCGTAGGACTGCTCTACACAAACTCCATTGGCTCAATACTTACTTTCATGTCTCAAATTTCAAGCTTTGATGTCCAAATACTGCAAACAAACCCCACATCATGTCCAGCAGGATTAAGTTTATTTTTCATGAAAGGTTCCACATGCTCACTTAAAAGTATACTTGCTGCATAGAAAGTTTAATTTAAGAGGAAAAAAAAGGAAAATAGGTTGCTCTTAGAAGTTTGGTCCTCCAGGATATACACCTGTTGTGACTGACCCGCAGTCACTAGCATAAAGGCCAGCCTGGTGTTAAAGCTTCCACTGAAAAAGAGCTTGCAAAAGAGCAGAAGTTACAATGTCTTGCTATTAACAGCTTACCTCTAACCACAGTCAGCATAGGAACAAGAGAATCTGTTAAGTTACAGGCCCGCAAATAGAGGGACAACTCAGTAAGTCATGACCCGATTTCCCTTCCAAACAGTCCCAGAAAATGCAACCCAGACCTTCTTGTCAGAGGCACATTTTTTATGGCCATATGGAGACTGATGACAGTAGGGGATACCAAAGAGGAAAGCTGGTCTGATCATCCTGCCATCCAGAGTCTGCAACGCATACAGCTACGCTCTGCTCACTTTGTGTACGAGCCACAGACAAACTTCGTACTTGCTAACGGGTACTATTTTTATACTGAGCTAGCAGGTATTCCTTTTTTTAAACATTTTCTTCAGCTGCTGAGGTATACATACTGTAGAACATAAAACAACCCATACATTTCCCCAGCTACCACAATCTAAAGCTACATTAGAGTGGTCATTTTATCCAAACTATCTAACAAAATGTATATAATTCATTCTGTTAAAGTAAAAAAGACTTGCACTATAAGGATCAGGTTCTTTTCCTTCTTGACACTTAAGACTTCCGGGAATCGGACTGCTGGAAACGGTTTAGCTTCTCTGGATTATTTGATGCCATTTGAGAAAAGTCACGAAAAATGTCCTGATAAATTTCATCTCCTAGGTAGAAAAGAAAAGGGAAACGGTTTTAAACATTCGTGATAGTTAACATCACCCACCATTGCACAAATGCCCTACTGCGCTACCAGTTACTATATAACACTTATTCATGTATAAAGATTGCTTATAGATGGAATGATGCTGATGTGAACTCTTTGGGACTGTTTACTTGCATGCACATTCTATAGAAGCAAATTAAACAAAGCCAAACTATACCTGATAATAGTACCTCACAGGCAGCCACACAGAGGAAAGTTTAGAGTTAGAAAGGAAAAACGAAAGCATTTTAAAGCAATGTAAAAAGAAAAATGTTTATTAGCTATTAAAGAATAAAATCCTTGTTTTTGCAAGGAAGTGCTAACCAAGATTCTCTTCAGAAAAGTAGAACTATGGCATAAAGATTTACTTGGAAACAGAGGTCAGAAGTCTTACAGCCAGGCAGAACTGCCCATAAAAGAAACAATCAGCGAGCAACAGTATAAAAAAAGCAATCCTAAGTAAAGAAATTATTGTTCATTAATCCTTTTGGTCTATTACTTCAGCAAATATAAATTTTTACATGCATTACTGAACATTCATTACATCTTTTAGTTTTATCTATAAGAGTGATGATACTTTCCTTAAATATCTTTCATTCATTTTTTAATCTTCACCCTTTGTGCTTAAACACAACCCGACTACTAGTGCATATTCCAAAATGAGAGATGGCAGCAATTTCCACCAGGCCTGTCTCTCTCCCTCCCCCCTCCCTGTCTACACAGGAAAACACATTCAGGAATGATTACTTCTTGAGTCATTGCCAAGCCATTCTTCTGCCACTTTAAAATGGACATTTTCACATTCTTTCATCTGCTGCAGCATTTTGGGCCTTGAGTTCAGGTTTCATTTTAAAACATTAACCGTACCCTATTTGCCTTCAAAGGGCATTAAATGCAGAAAACCTTTGGTCCAGTCAGGAACTATGCAGCCACCCGAGTTTTACTGTCTTCCCAACACAGATGACCACACAGGACACAAGATCCCAGCACTACTGTTCCTTGCTGAAAGCTTGATTAATAGCGCGACAAAGATATCAACCCAAAATCTCTCTCATCATGCAAGTTGAACATTATGATCCCCCCCCCAATATGACTGTGGAAGAAAAGTATTATTCCGCCACTTTTTTCCAAAGGGCAGTTTTTAAAAGGATTTTTTTGTGTTTAAGAGTTTGCACTACAGTGAAAAGTTACACTGTTTTGTTTTTCCATCTTTTAATGCACACTTCCAATATTAGAACTATTATTCTTTTGGAGATGAGACTCCACTCATTTGAAAACACTTTCAGAAATTATAACCGACCTTCCAGAAATATTCAACATGCATGGCATGTGGGTTTGTACAAAAATGTAATGACACAATTCTTCCCAGACTTTAAAAGATAAATACATTCAATACTGCTCTACTAAGAAAAGTTAGTTCTAGTGAAATTCCCTTTTGGTTTTCAGATTTAGTTTCTATTACATTCTAGAGATGAAGCAGGCACAGGACACGTTTTATTGGAACAGTTTCTGATAACTGCTTGCGCTGGGAGATAAGCACAGAACGAAGGGGGTTGTAACATTCACCAAAAGAACAGCTATGAAAAGCACAAATGGGAATCAAGCTTGTATGATAAAAGCAATTACGCTTTTAATACAGCAGTGGGTTCTACTCGTGAACTAGTACTGTAGTTCAAGTTGCCATATTTGGTTCTTTCATATTAACTTGAAAGAAAAAACAGAAGCTATTTTTGCAAGATAACACTGTGGCTCTGTTTTTGGCTCTATTACATAACAAAAATTCTACATACAAAAATAGACTAAAATAAAGTGCCCCTTTAGTTTATATGCTGCATTAAAATACTTAATACTGTAAACCTTATAATTATTTTAAAATCCTACTTTAAAATTGAATTCTGGAAATTCCCTTTTTCCAAGCAATGTTTTCCCTAAAGTGCAGATTTTATGTACAAAAATACTATAACACCGCTTTACCATTTAACACCAGAGTAACTCAAAAGGCACACATCATACATTCAAGAAAAGATAGGAAGAAAAAGTAGCAATACTAATTCAAATAGTTAGCAGACGTACTGTAGCACCAGAAGATGAGCACTCAGGTATTATACAAGAAACAGTACAATGGTGCATATGGCTTCTACCAACAGAAATGAACTTCTTGTGGAACAAGCTAGTTTCAGCTAGTTCCCACTCTAGGAATATTTTGGAAGACCAACTGTACCTTGCAAAGCAATATATACATTCTCTCAGTAGCTCAAACCAGCCAGGTGTATTTAAATGAGAAATGTTGATGCCATTAGCAACATCAGTAATCGTTTATCAACTGCATTACTAAAGCAGAGAAATAGGCAGTTGGCTTCACTCTGAAGACAGCAAACTCGTACATCGATATTTACCCTCACATAGCTCCCAGCAAACATACAATTGTCTTGAAAATCCTTATTTTCTTCTAGAATCATAATTTGGGAAAAGAGGAGTTCTAAAATAAGGGCAGTGCAGATAATTCAACATGTATATGCAGTGAAAAAGACCTGCCTCCTCTACGACCACGTAAAGCTATCATACCTTGCGACAGCAGAGAGAGGTTTTGTGCTCACACTTACACAACCCTTCTAGCAGGCTAGCTGACATTAACATTTAAAACACCCAAGTATTTACTTCAACTTTTAAAAGAGACTTTAGCAAGTAAAGAATCGAGGCGAGCAGAGCTATGCTATCCAAAGATACAGCAAGATCTCCTGGCTGGGACACTGTGCTACAGCTTGTGACCTGACTGTCAAAAATTACTCTGATGATACCCTCCCCCTGATTTTGGTCAAGCTCTATCCCTTGTGGCAGCTCTACTTTCCACTGTCAATCTCGCCTGTTTACAAGGATCAGATACTATTCGTAAAATATCTGGATCAGATGGTATCAACTGCAGTCTCTAGATTCTACTGTAATTCAAACTGATAAAAAGGTCAAGATATTTTCAATGAAAGACTTATCCAGCTTTTTATTTCACCTACCTAATTGAAGAATCTGTCTAAAAAATATTTTAAACAAGACATAAGGGAAAATAGTCTCCCCCATCTCTAGTTTAAACACATTGGTATTTTCATTTAAGTAGTGCCTGTATTTGTTATGAATGAAACATTTTACTAAACATTTGTAATGATTAGTAACCAACTGAGGCTTTTTGTACAAACTATAGAAACACATTTTCTGGTTTATAATAATTTTGGATTTGTGACAGGTCAATTAAACGACCTAAAATATCCATTTACGATTTAGCAGAGAGCTTCTGAATCAAAATACCTACCTCCCTTAAAACAAAGGCATTTTACTACTTCAAAGGGATAGTCATTATTTTTACCTCTTAAAATAAAAATGAGGAGACTCAGAAATATTTCAGTACTTGTTACCTTCAGCCTATCAGTGAAGCAGTATGCATTATATCAGAAAACAGCTGTACATTCAAAATGGCCAAACTGGAAATAGGCTTTTTTCATATACGTAGCCTGCTGCATTTTCTGAGTGGGGAATTCTTCCTCATTTAAGCTCATAATCAAGTATATACTTTTAAATTATCTGTTGCTCTGCCAAAGAAAGCATTGGAATGCCTGAGTGTCTATAGTACTTCTATAGTTTTAATTTGAATTTCCTAGAAGATTTGTTTAAAAATAAATTTGAAAGACATCTATTCTTAAGGAGAAGCTAAATAAATTGGGTTTATTTTATAGAGTCCATCTGGGATATTGACATGAGACTCAGTGTTGCCCCTTGAGCATATTCCAGCCCCAATCTGGTAAAAGACAAAAGCACACATAGTCCTTATGAATTCAGTGGAAAATACGTAAGGGCTTTGTAGGAGTGAGCAAAGAGTACTCAGCACTCAACCTTAAAAATAAGGTTTGCCTTTCACTACTGCCAGGTACAGCGGTGTATTTTTAGCTGTCTAACTTGACAATCAAGTGTGCTTTCATTATTGATATTTGCATGAGATTAAATTAGGTTCCTATGGAAGCATACCACAACAGAAGAAATGGCTTGCATAAATATCACATCAGAACATAGTGTAAATTGGGACTGAGTGCCTAGGAATAAAAGTTGCACATATTAATTAAATATAATTTGTTATTTTTTTGTACCAGTTGGCTCAAATGTCTGCCAATTCTTTTTTTTTGTAATCAAATGGTAAGATACTATGCATACAAAAATACATACTTAAGAATGACTGTTTTGTTTCTTATTTGTATCTTAACAAATAGAAATATTTAAAAATAAAATTTGAGGAAATAATACTTTCCTATTTTTGTCTGGAGTTATTTTGAAATATTTGAGGTACATTTTTACATTGGTGTGCAAGCATTTTTTTCTTAAAAAAGAAGAGGACCATTCCACAGGAAGGAGAATGGTATCCAGTAATAAGATGAACTCTTCAACTGTCTCAGAGCAAGCCGGGTCAGAAGGCTGCTATTAAATAACGTCAGGTAAATCCTAACATTACGTGCATTTCAATGGAACATCAACAGGAGAAAACTGTGGACGACTGCCAGCAAAACAGGTTGGTAATGGCTGTAGTAACATACACTACTATAATAACATACTTTAAACACTCTCCTTTTAGGTCCCCGAAATAATCTGACAAAGTCACACCAGTGAATTTCAATGAAGCTTTAACATGTGTCGGTTGTTTATAAAAAAACATCATTGTATGAAGCTGCCTTAAATTTCCCTCAGATCTTAAGAATCTAATTGTAAACTGATAAATTCCTGAATACACTTCTTATACTGCATTTCAGTATGGTTATTAGTAGAGTATTGACCTGGCTGTCCATAGAGTCCTTCCGATTCACGCATTTCTTCATTCATCCTTGCTAAACGCAACCTATGATTTAGGAAACAAAAAGAACAATGTCATCTTTAAAGCACTAAAAAAGACTGCAATTCAAGACCTGCAATGCACTCCTGAACCCCACACCAGTGAGGTCATCTATGGATAGTGCACTCTCTTTGATTTTTCTTTTGCTCTCCCTGTTTTTATGTAAAGAAATTTTGACATTTCTTATATGTTTAACTTGAAACAGAATAGGAAAACATAGTTAGCTAGTCAAAAACAGAACACACAACTTACAATGTTACAATATCTGCATTTGCAGCTTCTACTGCTATACTCAATGGATCTTTCCCATCTTCATCAGTGGCATGCTGGTTTGCTCCTCGTTTTAGGAATAAACACACTTGTCTGTTTAGAAAAAGCATTTAAGAATAATTTTCACAACAATAAAGGAAAAAAGCAAATAAATTCAAGCTGGATGCAACATATTTGGCTTATATCACCAAAAGTCTCTTGAACGTATCAAAACAGCGCTGTTCACGTAGAACAACTAAGACGTTAACACAGTAGTAAGCAAAACCTTTAATTATTTAATGCACATTAGAAAGAGCCTAACTCAAATCACGCTTGTGCAGCAAGGAGTTGAATCCTTTAGAAGCGAGACTCTACCTTCCTGCATCATCTTAGGTTGTAGAACCAAAAAACCTCATCCCTTTTACCATGACAGACAAGAACGACTGAGCAGGATAAAACAATACAGGCAAGAACACAGTTCACAGGTGCCTGATTTACCCAATAGAAACTGATCTCATTTTTCTCCGCTATTACAATTCTTCATCTTTATAAACAGGGCATACTGACTAAGCTTACATCTTAAACTCTCCCAAGTTGTTGCACTTTATTCAGAATTCATGCATGTGAAGAGTTTGGGCACCACCAACCAGATTATTATGTCCTCATTTGAACTGAGCTGATACAGGGTTTCAGTTAAAAGCCATGATTCCAAAACTCAGGATGTAATGCAGTACATTTTGAAATTAGATGCACTCTCAGTGCAACACACAGGTGGGATGTCAGAAAAAGCCTTGACCCTCACACATCACTATTTCTCCTATTTGTATATTTCTTAAGAAAATGAGAAAAAATCTCATGAGTCTTCACCAAAAGTTCATGTTATTTCAAAGCATTATTAAATACATGTTTTTACAAAATGGACCAAAGTGTGTTTATAGATGTGTGCTTTGCTAGCGGATGAGACTGCTAATTCAAAATGTTATTTCCTCTCTCACCACAAAAGTTTAAGAAAAACCTAGATTACCTGAAATATATTAAAATGTCAGAATGTTTGGGGAAATGAAGAAGCTTCACATTAACAACTATAGTAAAGGATGGCCATTTACAAATTCTGGAGCAGTGAGTTACCCAGTGTGTCCTAGAACCGTGGCATGGTGCAGGGGTCCTCTTCCTTTCATGTCCCTGATGTTCACATTGGCCCCATTCTGCAGCAAGAATTCACAAGTAACCAACGAACCCTACGGAATAAAAGCAAAGAAACAATTCAGCACCAGATCTCTAGCATAAGAGCCAAACCTGTTCTGCCTCCTCACCACTGATTCATCTGGCAAAGGAAACAGAAGGGATTTGCTTCCATATCAAATTTAAACACTACTAGGTTATACAATTCCAAACAAAGCATTAACAGGAAAAAATAGTTCAGAAACAACTTAGAGAACATTGTAAACACAACTTCAGCATCACATTATCATTCATTAGCAAAGCAAGCAGTTCAAAAGGAACAGTGACACAGAAACATCCCTATTATTCCCCTCCCCCTCCTCTCGCATCAGTCGGTGCTGTATAACACATACCCCTCGCACTGCCTGAATGAGCGGTGTTGCTTTGTTTTCCTCTACGTTGACCCAGTTTACTTCAGCTCCATGGGCCAATGCTTCTGCCATATCAGGAAGATTCTTCTCAAAGGCAGCTCGATACAGCTGCAATCCTGGACTAGGCTGTTTGGAGTCATAGAACACAGAAGACTCTTGCTTGTCTCCTTCTGAAAAGAAAAAAAATTACTTATCTGTAATCCCTGTTTTTATAAGGTATCTCCTGGAATTATGATCAAAAATGTAATTTCTCTGGCATAAGGTAGCTCAGGTTTTGCAGAACGCTGTGCATTGCTGCCCTATTCTGCCAGGAGAAGTCACAGATGCCTTTAGCTTGTTCCAGCATTCAGGCACAGCCACTTCACAGAATTATTACTGCGCAGAAAACATTCTCTCCACATTTCTGGCACATGTGAATATCCTTCAATCTATCTATTCCATGTCATTTCTAAGAAATTATTTTAGGTTAAAGTGTGTTTTAGCCTATACTGCAAGATATGAATAAAACTAATTTCCTGCAGAGATGTAGTCATACAAATGTATCTTTATCTGTGACAGCTTGATACACCTGAATATGAGGCTAATACTGTTCTGACCTCATTTTTGTTAAAAGATAACACTGTCATTTACCAATAACTTGCTGTGGCTATAATCTTTTGGACTAAAGCATAATCTTTCTTTTCATCTCAATAAGAGTTATAGAGAGCGAAGTCTGGGAGATAAAGACATTGTTATATATAAGCTTTCATGAGTTACAGCATCATCTTTCTACAATGCAGTCAAAGAAAGGATCCAAGCCACATGCTGCTTGCCTACAAACCACAGCTGTGAACTACTGGATTTAAAACATACCTCAGAAGAGTGCTTTGATGTAGAAGAATACTTTCGCTTTATAAATAAATGTTTTGGATATTTTGACAAGCCGTACTCAATACATCAGTCAGACCAGGATGCTAATATTAGATAGCAAATAATTTCATCAATCAATTTAGAAAACTTTGAGTAAAGAGGGGGTAATGTTTAAGACACGGTCAATTCCACGTAAGTGGAAAACAGAAAAATTAAGTAAGAACGCTCAAATAACACATAAAAGCTTATTATCTGTGACTTAACAGGAATTCCATCTCCAAGGATTTAACTATTTATAAAAGGATTATGCATTTCTGTGGAGACTTGTCTGTATCAAAATGCAGCATCGCTCTCTGCTAAAAAACAAAGTTCTGTCTTAGTATCATGACTGGAAAAAACCGTAGTTGTCTAAACTCATTCAGAAGGATTCAGTGTCATTCTTCCTACCAAGCCTGGAGGAGAGAAAGGTCACTCAAGCAATTATTACCCTTGTTAAAAATATTTCAGCCCACCAGGATAGAAGAGACATGAATCATATCACCAAGTACTAATCTCTTTGATAGGAGCATGCTACCAAGAAGCGATTAATTTTTCATCTTAAAGTGCAAAGTCTAACGCACCTGGTTCATACAAACTGTTAGCTGATATAGTAGAGGCAAGGTGTTCTCTGCTGTCATCAGCACTCTGCTGGATCCCACTGTCACTGCTTTGTACTGTTTTGGGGAGAAACTGTAATTACTATGCAGACCGTAAGTCACCTACTCTTCACAGATACCATGATAATAAAGCAAGCTCTTATACTTGGTCCTGAATACATTTTTTTTTTTAAAGACTAGTAATTATTCAATATTCTTAACACATCCATAGAAAAATATGAAGTCACATATTGCAACCACAACATTTACAATAAGAATAATAATAAATGTCAAAGATTATTAGAAAGGAAAAGATCAGGATAAGTAAAAAAGCTTAAATTATTTCATGAAAAAACTAAGCAATGCAGTAGCCTGGAGACAATGGATTAAAGGCAGGGAGATGGCCACAACACACGATGGATCACTAGTGCAAATACTGAACACGCCATAGCTGTAGTACTTACTACTACGTAGTTTTGAAGAGGTATCAAAGTAGGAGAAGAGTGAATCTAGTTCATCAGGACAGAACAGAGACTCCCGCCTCGCCTCGTCGCTACTTACAGCAACCGCTGGGACATGCAAGTTAGCAAAGCACAAAGCAGGCAGTAAGGAAGGGATAGGGCAGGAAAGAACGTTATCGGAAAAATTAAGAAGGATGAAAATACGGAGGAAAGAAGGTCGTTAATATGTTTCTGAATGATAAGCATCCCACTCCAAATTCTTCCCCACCTAAAAATGCACATCTCTGAACAAGTCTTTTGTCCCCTATACTTCCGAACGAGGCTATGACCCATTAAAAGACAGATTCCGATTTCCCTGCATGAGGCAGGAAATCAATACATACAAAAAAGTGTTACTTTAAAAAGAACATGTGTAACATAGCTAAGGAGAGAAGTGTGTAAATACCTTTTCGGGATGCCGCACCTTGTTCCCCTGCCGAAAGGGTTTTTTCAGGGGCACTGTGCCTTTTCTCTTCGTGACTTTGAGGCAAAACTTTTGTTTCAGACTCAAGCAGAGATACTGATGCAGGCTGCTTCTCTACAAACTTTCTTTCCACATATTTTGCTCTGATGTATGCCTCCTTCTCCTGCCTGTCATACACAAAATCCCTGGAGTTAGTAAGCTAATATTTTAATATCTTCATATATTAAAAGAACATCCATTTCATACTAAAGCCAGTAACCAAAATTGTAGTTTGGCATTGTACATAGGACACACTTATGACACGTTTTCAGAAAGATGAAGAACACACTGTCTAATTCTTTCTGGATTCTTGATTAAATTTTGCATAAGGCTCAAAAGAAAGTAATTTTCTTAAGTTCATATATGTATATTTTCTTTCAGGCAGAGACTTTACAAAGTGGTATGTGGAAGAAATAAGCATTAGCTACTGTACGTTACTTGGAATAGAATAGACTATTTCAGTTGGAAGGTACCTACAACTATCATCTAGTCCAACTACCACTTCTTGGTATTAGTCCTTTATACATGTTTTACATCGTTAATAACCAATTAATATAGCAAATATTTAGTTTCTTAGGTAAATATAAATTGCAACATTTGTTAAAGGAACATCAAGATTGCACAAGAGAACCATAACAATAATAAGCCTCAGGTAGGCACAGCCGCCAGTTCCATAATGCATACTGAAATATTTTTTCTTGTAACCTGAGGTTATCATCTTAAGACACACCCACCCCAGTTGTGACAAACTGATGAAAGTATTACTATTGAAACTGCTGAAAAGCAGTTACCACTTGAAGGAATATCTAGCAAATCTCCTACATTATTTATATTATTATCATTGTCTCCAAATGGCTAACGCTTTATAAAACGCTGTTTTCTATACCGTAAAACTGCCTGACAGCAAGCAGCACAGAACTGGAAAGCTGTTAAAAAAAGTTTTAAAAGACATCTTATACAGCAGAACAAAACATTAGGAAACTACCTTCAAATACAAATTAGCATCAGAGAAATGGAAGACAGAAGTACAATCATTACAAGGTTGCTATAAAGCAGCAGAGCTCATGTACGATGTAGGCAGAAAGAAAAGAGCATTCTGGGGATCAGGGAACAAAAGTCAAACTCAAGAACAGTCACCGAAAACAAAAGGCACAGCCACAGACTCCTTCCAGGAGCAGTCACAGACCAAGTACAGCTGGCTGAGACAGTACAAAGTTGACAGGAAACAAAATCAACATGCCCACGTTGATGAGACGGAGCAGGATGCTACCGAGTTGTCATCAAAAGGACGGAGCGAGATCAGAAAAAGAACAAGTGAACAAGAGAAGCCAAAAGGGACCGCCAGAAGGAATACCCAATAGAGACAGAGAGCGAGAAAAGGGGGAGAGCAAAACACACTGGTGATATGGGGAGACAAAGAGTAAATCAAAGGAGTGTTACACAGTTAAGTGGCAGCATCTTTTAAAGCTGGAGGCTGAAGGAAGCAACAAGAAAAGGAAGTAAGAGGCACTGCTAGTGAATTACTACCTTTGGCTTCCAGGTTGTGGCTTCTTTACTCCCACTTTTTCCAACTTCGCTTCATATATTCTATTTATAACATCATTTCCCAATTCACACATAAGCTATGAAGCAAAAATAATAAATTCAAATACAGTTGCAAAAGGCTTTATCTACCCATTTAGTTGTTTTTAGTCTCATTCAGCCTATTTTCACAACTTAGTATTTTCACGGGTAAAAGTACACTTACAGAAATAAGCATGGGTTTATATCATGATAATGAAACCATCAGTGAATAGAGAGACCAAATTCCAAGTAAGATAGCAAAAAATACAGTCAGTCTTTTAAAGTGCCATTCCCTTCCGAAAAAGGACTGCGAAAATGACCATCTGTCATTCAAGAATCTTTTTTTGTGCAATCAGAATGACATCTGCAGGCCTCGTCAAAGGTACTCTTTTCCACCAGCTTTGCCGGTAGTTATTCTTATCCCATCGCCAAGAGACAATTCAATCGATTCTATTCCATCTTGTCCAACAGACATTTTTGCTAAATCGTAATCTGTTACGTCTATAGAAAAAGATCAAAGACAAAAAACAGCCTGCAGATACTACTTTAAGGAGAACTTGGCCCATAAAGTCCAACTTACTGATGGCAATGAACAGATTTCTTGCTTCTAATACCAGGTAGAATCGTCAGCTCTGGTATTTACATAAACAGGACGAGGGGTGTATTTTGGGGTTTTTTTGCTTGTTTCCTCAGCATGAACACATTTGATATTAAAACTATTTAAGGTCAAACCACAAGAGAAACACCCTTACTCACATTGTCTTTTGATTGTTCAGAATAGAGAAGCAATACCTAAGTACCAGAGCATCACAGATAGAAACAAGTGCTTTGCATCAGTTATTCAGTTGCACACATGCATCCACGCGTGAGTTCCTATTTCGGTATTTCAATGTCACGTGATTTTCATAACCATGTTTCAAGCTAGAACTTTGGCATACAAATAGCACACAAGAGCAGCTGCATGAATGTTCTATAAGCCAGTAGGAGTACGAAATCAAGATCTCGCTGTAAAGGTTGGCACCTGAATTTTCAAGTACGATCACACTTTAGGCTGATACAGCACTTCCAAAATTTTCCAGCCCACTGTATTATTGGTCTGTAAACAGATTTCCATTTTTATATGTTGAAAGTATCAGATGAAACTTACTACTCAAAGTGCATAAGGTGTTCTGACTCGCAAGTTTGTAACGAGAATGACTACTGCTACTGCATGTATTATAAGAAAGTGCAAATTGAAAAAAAAAAAACCAACACACAACTATAAGCACTTTTGAGTAGAAAATTTAAGAGATGCACTGGGTACAGATGCAAGTGTTTCCTGCATTGAGCTTTCTGATGCAGTGGCTTTAGAACAACAATCTAAGTACCAAAGAGAAACTTGTTTCAAAACTACTATCGTACCTTTAGAAGTTCAGGTTCCCATGAATCCAGCGTTAAAGATCTTACTTTTGAAAAGTGCACTCCCAAGCTCCTAAACAGCATGAAAAAAATATTAACCTGTAACTGCATGCTGTGTCTTACCTCAAACTGCTTTACCATTAATTTACACAAATAAAGCAGCTACCGTAATTCTGTTTATAGGCAGGGGTCTCTAACCTTGCTTCAATATACATTTGAAGAGACAAACACCACCCTTCCTAAGTCAACGCACAAATCAAATACAGTTCTCAAGAGTTCCCCAACCTGTGTATCCCAGAGCACTCAATGCACAGCGTGATTCCGAGGTTGATACTGGCCCAGCGAGGATCTGCCAAACCACAATCACAGCAGGCAGCATTACCAGGAATACACTGAACTCGCTGTAGAGCACTTTCTCCCTTTAACAACTTTTCTTTTGTCTCACTGCCAGATTCTAGGCTTCCAGTAGAAGGGGATGATTTCTTTTCCTGTTTCTGAAAAAAAAAAAGAGAAGAAACAAACAAACAAAAGAGACACACACTTAAAGAAATAAAAGTCCTACAGATACTGACAGTGCACTAGAATCCTAGTAACTTCTGCATTTAAGTCCAAGGAAAGCCATAGAACTGAAAAAATGTTTAGTTTTTTAGAAGAAATATAGAACTGAATATAGGAGTATCCAATAATCCTATGAATTTTAATCAAACTACACAAAAATCTCATCAAAACATATAGGCCAAAGTAACATTAGTAAGATGGAGTGAAATACAGATCAGATATAAATCATAGCCTTCAGAATTTAATTGTATTTCCACTTAAAGACAAACAATGGATTCTTTTTTCCCTCCCCTCTCATAAAAAGAGGTTTTCTCTATTTTTAATTTTCGGCATCTAAAGGGGGGGTTGTTGTTTGGTTGGTTTTTAAACTCACCTCAGATTCATCTCCTTTCTCTCTATATGCTGTAGCAATACTGGTCTGAACCGCCTTAATCCACGCCTGTCGCAGCTTTTCTGAATCAGCCTGAAGCATGCAGCTTCTGTAACAAATACACGTGGACTCAGATTCAGAGAGACGGACCAAGCAGCTAGCATCAAACAACATGTTGTTCAATAATATACAGACTCTTGAGAAAGTTTATTGCTATCACCATAAGTATATTGTTTAGCAGGCATCATCTAATAAACCCATTTGTTTTGAGATACCAAAGCAGCTGATCCTTTATGAATTGCACGCTCCTTGTTTCAAAACTATTCGCAGGTAATGCTAAAACATATAGCTATGACTCTTCAGATAACCCAGAGAATGGCTTAGCTTCCTATTCTCTTTCTTTTCGTATTCCAGATTTTTCATTTTTATATCCTCACATGCAATTTACCTCCATGACCAATTACACAAGATACAGGTATCAGTCCTTGAAAACACAGTTCATTCACGGAGATCAAGAGAAAATTATTTTAAAGCTCTCTGACAAAGAATGAACTACTTTTCACACCAACAGTTAAAGGAAACAGGTCATGAAGTATAAAACTGTTCCAACACTTATGGGCTGAAAAAGTATAGGCAAGCAGGAGCAAAACGCATGTTAAAGTGAACCACAAGTGAGGATGCAAACATCAGGACAGCAATCTATTAAGAAAATAAACAGAAGTAGGAGTGCACAGCGTAGATAACATCCAAACCTAAAAGCAGGTTGACCTTATATCAAAAATTTGGTCACACCTCAATCGTTAACGAGAAATCCATGTCCTGTGCCCTGGCTGCGGCAGGACTGCCATACTTCTCCAAATATAACCAATACACTGCACGGCTAGAGCTGAAAAATATTTTTATTTGGCAGTTTCATTTAGTGCATTTGGAAACATAATTTAACACTACTGAGATAACAGCTTATTAATATGTTTCTCTCTCATTACACCAATCAGAAATTTGGAGAAACTGAGATCTATTTTCTATGTTACTAAGCAGCTTGATAGTATCAGCTACTACTAAGCCACAAGAATGCATGTTTTATTTTAATGCCAAAAGTAAACTAAATAGTGGGAACACTTCTCACAGCATCACTTGCTCTTAGCCAAAATTTCAGAAAACAGAATTGTTCAGATACTTTTCCTGTTTTGATCTATCCCAAGAGAAATGTTAGTCTTGCATTTCAAGGCAACTGACTATAACGATTTTTTTAATTTTTAAATAAACATGCTCCATCACTACTTCTTACTTTGTTGGAGAAACCACCTCAAAACAGAAACGCCTTTCTATGTCCTCACAGTGTTTAACCGTGCAAAGCCGCAAGTCTTCAACAACTACCGTGGGATTATCCTAAGAGACAAAAATTAACAAAACAAGTCACATAGAGGGAAAGATAATAAAGTTGCTAATAATCCCTAGTTATTTATCATTTAATTCTATTTGCTTGTTTACACAAATTTTTCCTCCCAAATTAAAGTTTTAAATAGGTGGAATCAGAGATACTCAGCATAGCAGGAAATATTTAGATAAATTTTAATGTTTCATTATATTTTATGAAAATTTAACACAAACTTTGGAGAATTCCTTTTTACCTACAATCCAATCTACTAAATAATCTACACCTTAAATTTAAACAACAGTATTCAAAAGAACTCAAAGATACTTTCTAAGAGATGCAATTAGCTCACAAATACATCAGAAAGATTACACCTAAATCAGCAGTATCCTAAGTGCCAAGTACACAACCCAGAAGCTGAATGCAGTGGTTTTGAAAATTTGATTCAACTCACAAGAATTCTGTTCTAAGCTAACGGCATTCTAAAAGCATGTTTTTAAAAAAACATAAAAATGTAATTGGAATTCACAAACACAAAGTGCCCAACTCAAACGTGCTCACACAAACCCAACTGTTTGTTTCGTTTCCAACCACAAAAATGAAGACCCTTGATATGATAGCATCAGATAACAAGGAATAGCCTCTGAACCTGGTCTGTTAACACCGAAGAGAAATGAATTGTCATAAGCTCTACCCTCTTTTTTTTTTTCTTCCTTCTCCATACACTTCTCTAGTTTTCGCCAACATGAAGAACAGTTACAGCTATGTGGTGCAAAAGCAGGTTCTAGCACAGTAAACAAAGGAGCACGGGCCCAAACGTTGATTGAAAAGGCTGGCTTCTACAGCTTGGGGCAGAGTTGTGCTTGCTGCTGTAATATACAACAACTGTACTTTCCCACCAGCAAAGAGACAGATGTTGACTGCTCAACCACCTTACATTTTCAGTATTGTACATAGCATCCCTGACTGTTTCATAACAAATGCTTTCATACCTTTCTTTCCCCTTCTCTCCCCAGCTGCTAAATTTGGTACGTGAACCCAGTAACTGGAGAGAGTAAGTCCTGAAAGAGTTAAACGCAACTGCTCAAAGAACAGCATGGAATATTCCGCTGCCGCCAAGTGTGCACAAGCCTTTTGGGACCAACAACTTTTAAGGCTCTTCATAAACCTTCTCTACAACAAGGCAGCAAAGCCCACAGCAAATAAAGTATGTGCTTACAAGTCACTGTGCAGGAATCTCAAAATCTTTAAGGGTCACTATAAGACTTATTTTACAAAGGGAAACACTAATTTAGAAAATGCAGTAGGTTGTTCAAGACCAGACAGAACGCCAATGTCAGCGCTGTTTCTCCTTCCCCTGATCAATCAGGAAAACCATCGTACACACCCCAAACTATCCCAAGCCAGTTTTTGATACCTACCTTAAATTTCTTCTGGTACACAAGTTGGTTATTTTGTATTGAGAACCAGCGCCTATTCAAATAAAGAGACATCCAGAGAATACATAACTGATTTTACAGTGCTTATTTGACCAAAAGGTGCTAACATACAGTCTACAGAGAGACTGCACAAAAGAATTCACAAAAGTAATGCCGCAGTCAGTTTTGGCGGGTATTTCGTGAGAATAATGAGAAAAGGGAAAGCAGAGACAAAACAGAAAAGAAAGCAAGGTTCAAATAATTCGAGTCCTAAACAAACACATTCATGTTATGACAACATTAGTTAAGCTATCACACAAAACATTTTCATTTCAAAGAACATTTACTTCTGTATTTCAGCAGCAAGCTAGAATTTTAAGTAATTGTTTGATAACACAAATTCAGATAGTTTGAATAACAAAAATACTTAAATTATGTAAACTACTCCTGAAATATTTTTGAGAGTAGAACTAAGAAATAACTAAGGCACTAAAAATACTACAGTGTTGCTGTTCCATGTAGGCTTAATGTCTCTCTATATTTGGCATTTCTTGAAATTTTAGATGTTGAAATAAAAAGATTGCATACAAAAACAAAGCAAAACCAAGGAAAGCCTTTTAAGTAGGGTCCTAACTTAAGCCTCAGCTTTGTAGGAAAATATCAAATAAAAGATTTAACGAAGGCATCCTATAAAATCCAAAAAATAACGTAACACTTAAAAACTCCTCTGAACTGTATCCTTCCTTGTCAAACTCACTGTTCAGACAGGATACAATTCTTAGAGAATGGAAAGATCATTCATATTTTGGAAAAAGTTATGAGTACCTCAGATCAACAACTGCGTTTTATCAGACCACTGAATATTAAAAAAAAACCAAACCAGCAAATATAACCATCCTTTTCTAGCTCTTCTGAGGATGCACAAAATAAAAGCTAACCAATCATCACTGGTTTTGAACTGCCAAAAACAAAGGGAATATAAAAAATAATTCAGTCCTGCAGTGAAATTTGCACTTTTTTTGTTTTGTTCAGGCTTATAACGTGCACCTGTGTTTATCGTAGCATAATTCCTCAATTATCTCAAATACCCCACTTATACCACACATCTCATTTTTCCGCACCGCCAATTAGTTTGAATGGTAACAATATACAAAATATTGTATTGCAACATATCTTGTTATTCTCCACAGGCTGTTGAACTTCAAGCTACAGTTTACTACAATTAGTAACAAGAGGGCTCCATATATTTATTCAACCACCACAAGCCATTCATGAAAAGAAGCACACAGATTGTTAAGAAAAATTAAGATTTACAAAAAAGTTAGATTCAAATCAGAAAAATCTAGTATTTGTTAGGAAAGTTAGTGCTTAGTAGACAGATGAGATTCTACCTTTTAACAATTAATCTTTTCAAATGTTGTGCAGATATATTTAATTTAAAAAGCAACAACAGGATCTTCTTTTAATACTGGATTTCCAACATCTTTTTGGGTTAAGATAATTGAAGAGAATAATGCAAGAAGTTAACTACTTTTTCTGTTTATTAACAGCAGTAGTTTTGGTCACTGCTATTTAAAAGGTATCACCTTTACCATCTATTTTAAAAAAAGAGGTGCAGTAACTAAGCCTCAAATATGAACATAAGGCAGGTTATTGCTAATATTTAAATAGGTAACTCAACAAAAAAGCAGACTAGAAAAGGAAAATAAACTCAGGCTTTTTTATGTGCTCTTTTTGAACATATCACCAAATAGAAAAACATGAAAAGCAGTGCCTAAGTGATAAAGGGGGGGAAAAAAAAATGCAGCCTTGCTCCAAGATAACATGCAATGGAGCAAATCCCTAATAATGGCCTTAGGTAGTGTAATTAACTTCATTAATGCAATGCTTCATTTGTTCTACAGCTAAATATTTAATGAGTTACTGAAGTAAATAAGCTCCAATCCGATCAACTGGATATAAGTGAGCACACAAATTATAAAACAAATTGTAAAACAAATTTGTGTCATCTTTAAAGCCTAGTCTAGAAGTTTTCAAAGTATTCCAGCCCCTTTTTTTCCTAGTAGAGAAATTAAATCTGTTTAAGAGAACTTTCCAGTCCAGCCAAAAGGTGTGGGGTTTTTTTGATTTTTTTTTTCCAAAGAAACTTTTATTGAACAAGATCAACAATTTAGAATGTAGTATAACTTGTAGATCACACTTTCGAAGTAGATGTCAACGGAAAATAAAGTTAATACATTTTATTGTATGCTTGAAAAAATAAAAGTGACAGACTCCCCTCCAACATGTCAGCACCACAGCAGTTTTAGTCAGGCCAAAAACTTTGAGTTTTTTCATATTAACCAAATAGCATCAATAAACTCTACTCATTACTGTAGGAAACAGACTGCTGGGGGTCTACAGCAGTAGCAGCCAGGAACTTCTGAGGTACAATGTATGTACTGAAGGTGCTGTTACAGGGTATACCACATCTATCCTGTTCTAAGAATTAATGTTCATAAACCTTTAGGCAACATGTGTGCAGTAAATACTGACCATTATCAAAGTTTCTTTAAATGTGTCATTCTGTCAAAAATAGGAGAGAAGCATGGTGAAGGAGAAAACATACTTAGGGAATCTTGTAATTTGCACTGCCTCACTCAGTAGTGCTTAAATATAGCTGTTTGGGTTTAGAAACTGTATGTTTTCCATCATTTATACCTACACAATTCAAAAGAGTATTTGTTAAATAGGAAACAATACAAAATTAGTTGAAAAACATTTCCAATTTCTGAGAACTGAGAGTAATAACAAAAAGAAATATAAAATTTAAATTGAGTTTTACATAAAAAATGAATCATGCTTATTGATTCTCAAAAGGAAACAGTTTTCTTCACTAGTTGCTATCAGCACGCAAATAAAAGAGTGATTAAGAATGCACAACATTTAAAAGTGACATCTCTACTTCCAATGCAGTTGATAAGAAAAAAAAAAAATCTCACCAACTTCAATTGGAAAAAGTCAAAACACTGATCTTGTACGCTCAGAAGTTTGAGTGTAGAAACTTTGCTTCAATTCCTTTTTAGCTAAAACTAGCTCAATCTTTCTCATTCTTTAAAGGTGTTGAGCAGCAGGTATGCTGGCATCCCAGGCAGAATCCTTCTGTTATTTTCTTAGACTGAGCCACTTACACATCCATTGCAAGTAATCAAAATTAAATGCAGGGTTAATTAAGAGCTTTTTGCGTGCCAAAGAAACATTGGGAAGGTATAAAAGAAGCTGGTTGGTACCTGATGTGATCTGGCTTTTTCCTGTCATGTGAAAAAATGGGGTAGGATTAAAACATAAGGGAAAGGAGGAGAAGGAATGAAAAATGCAAAATGAGCAAAATAAGCAAAGAATTAGCACGATCTGAAAATACAGCAGAATTAAAAAGGAAAACACTTAATGCATCCAACCTAAAAACTATTCAGAACATACTAGCGTTTGATAAAGGCTTTTCTCCCTACACACAGTTATCGACGCTTTCTTCACGATATGGACTTATTTTTCATTTGAATATCTAGGAAACAAAACAGCTTTCCACCTACTGCTCCACAATAATAAATGCACCTGACTTCAGTTCCTGATGCCTTAAGAAAAACTGTGTACAATAAGATATATCATTTACAAACAGGTAGACATATGTTCAAAAAATAGGTCTCCATACTGGTTACTGTAAGACTTTCCAGTATAAAGATATCGTTTTGATTCCACTAAAGTATATTATCTGAAATACTCATGTACAGTGTACACTATCCATTTAGTCACAATAAAAAGATCGCAAAATCTCCAGCTCTTTCAAAACACAGCAACACTGAACTGCAAATAGCTCTTGTGGTTTACTGTGCAACCTGCTCAAACGCTGTTTGCTTCTCAAGCCAGGTGTCATGCAGAACTATCCCAAGAGCAGGAAACTTGATGCAAGAGCCCAAATAACTAAAGTCTTCAGACTATTAAACCCAAGCTGCCAGCTGCCCCAGGAAGAAACTACATCATCCTAGCAAGAAATTAGCTTGGGTTGGAAGCAAACAAGTTGGAAACAAAACAACTTTTCATTCATTAGAACAGATTTGCCCCCATTCAAAGGGCTGCATTATATGGTTTTGATTTTTTTCTCCCCCAGCAACCAGACTTTTCCCAGGATAATCCACTACGGCGTCCATGGATTCACTGACCAAGACATGCACACAGAAGCATCACAATTACCTAATTTGTTAGCTAGAATCATACTGATGTGTGTCAAACCCAGACAAAATCCATTCTACCATTTCCTTTTCTCTTATGTTTTTAATGCTGGCAAGTATACACTAATAGTGGTAATTGCAATGATTTTTGGTGCCTTTAATTCACTCTTAAAAAGGCCTAGAACCATCAAAATGCCAACTGCTACCAACAGAGGGAAAAGAAAAACTACTATTTTAAATACATATTACTACTGACAGTATGATCAGCAGTTAGCAAGGCAGATCAGTGCCGTCACCCTTGGTTCAGAACATCAGGAAATTCCAGTATATCTTTCTAGGCAAATTCTTCTGGTTTTGTTTCAGCTGGTTGATTTTCCACCCACCTCCCCCAAAGATGGGCATATAATGAAGCAGCAAACTACCTATCCGATAAGAACACTGAAAATATCTTGTCTGTCTTGGGGTCTCTGACTTCAGCTCTGAATTCCCTCATAAAAAATAAGTAATTCTCTAGATGTTTCCTCCTTTGGTATTTCATTGTACATTTTTTACACACAAAACAGTTTAATGCAATGACACAGTCCTTTCTTGTACTCTACCTAGTGACCAGAAAAACACTCTCACCTCTAATATACGGTAAACTTTAATCAGTATTATCTCCCTGCAGCTGAAACTGCAATACTACCTAAGTAAAACATTCCATCAGTGGAAACAGGCAGTGGAAAGTGGCAATGACCACCTCAATGCCTACAACGTAGCAAGCAATTACAAGTTTATTCAGAAACAAAAATAAGATAAAAACACTTGTCTAATTAAATCACGAAAAATGCGGCTAGATTCAGAAACTAACAGCTGTCTTCATTAAGAAGGTCACAACAATTAGTAATGGTTTGTGAATGTGAAGTACAAAATTAAAATGATTGATTCAATTTCTAAACAGTGTTTATAGATAGCATATCCAATGCTATTATCTGCCTAATTCTGAAGCGTCCAACTAGCCTATCACAGTGAGATAAATTATCAAGAATCTAAGATTAAAAAAGGTTAAAGGTTTAGCTTTATTGAATACTCCTTTGACAAGTAGAAGAAAAAAAACTATAGGCAAATATAAATTATATAGTAAAAGTAGGTAGCTCTGACTCATTACTGAGCTGTTTACCTTGACTCTCTTATATAACTTATTGTTTGGATATGTTTTTATTATGTATATTCAAACCTGTAACTTAACCTGAAAGAACGTCATTGTGTATCTTGATTTAATTATGACTTCCCCGTATTTATTTTGTATCCATTTAAATGTCCAACGTAGAGAAGTTAGTTTTAATTGAATCCTACTCCCTAACTACCTTAAGGTAAGATACATGTACAGTATTACTAGGTATGAAGCCATGTGGAAGAAGAAGATTTCTCAGCTACATTCCAAGACTCCTGTCCTGCTCCCTCCCTACAGAGCAAGCCTTTATGCTATCCCAAAGAAGAACCCAGAGAGCGCGTCAAGAGTTTTGCCTTCAGTCAATTACCAAGAGGCTGCAGTCAATCCTGCAAGGACCCTTTCAGCCTGTTGAGAATCCAATAAAGGACAGTCTCCTGCCCCGTTACTGTGGATTTTTCTCAGTGTGCTTACACTAACATTTTACTTCAGACCAGGAACGTGCTTTTGAAGCATTATCTCCCAGTTTTCTCCCTTCACTGTCCTTTGATGCCTCGCAGATTTGTCTTGGAGAACTCTGAATTCTGCTTGGATCAAACTAACCCAGAAGGTACATTACAATTACGGACAGATAATCAGACCACAGGACCAGACCTGAAGTAGTCCAATGCAAAATCCCTTGTGCCAGTTGCCCATGACTTGCTAATACAGATACAGTCTTATTGACGCCAGTGGCCCTTGCATCAGTCTATGGATTTAAGTGAAGCAATCCCAATTTGTTACGGACTTGTGGTGTTCCAAGATGCTCAAGGAATCATAGAATAATTAAGGTTGGAAGGGACCACATATCCAAATGCACATTCTGGCCTTTGAAACACAGTAAATAGTGTAACAAAAGCACTGCTGCAAAAATTGCAGAGCATAAGATAGTAAGAAGAGCTCTATATCACAAGAAATTACAATTCAAGAACTGTATCCAACTACACTGTAAATGCTCCAGCATATATAGCATCTCCTTGAAAAAAGCATACACCTTTGGAAATGAAAAAGAAATCCTGTTCAGGGAGAAAAATATTTAAACAATAGTAAAATATACATTGTTAAAGAAACATGACTAACAATATATTTTGAATTCCCAACAGGACCATCAAAACTACTAAGCAGAAGTTACTGCACAGGACAGGAATTGTAAAAGGGTAACAGTTACAGGCTTATCTTTCACAAAAAATAACTTGAGCCCGAGTCCTTCACTGTGTTTCCCTGTTTCCAATGGCTACACAACTTCCATTTTACTTTGTCCTCTAACACTTATTTTCCCAGCATACACATTCACGTAACTTATTGTATACAATTATAAGGATTGCTCTGTTTCAACCCCAACGTAAGGCCAAAATGCAATTACAGAGCCGGACTGCACACAACACAGCAAGCTTTCTGTACACAGGACTTCTCCAGCCTACAACACACTCTTAGAAAAAGGCTTGCAAACAACTAGGACAGAAACTAAGGAAAAATGGCTTTGAAGTGTCATCTCTACATTAATTGACAGAGTCATCCAAGTGTTCTGTCAAAACTGTGGAATCAGTGAGTTGCATAGGTTATAAGTCAGACCAGAATTTAGCTTAACAAGCAGTATCCTAATAAGCCAGTAAATAGAGGTTCTGAATAATTACCTGTTCCAAGTCTTGAAGGCATTGCTGGCTCGCTTAAATAGATAACCTTCCATAACAATACCATTGGCTGCATCTACGTTGTATTCTAGTTTAGTATCATCACTAGAATAATCCTAGTACAAAGGAACAAGACAAGAAAAAGACATTGCAGTTTCAAATGAAACTTCAAATATGGGCAGTATTAATGTCAAAAACAGTAAACATTTCAGAATAATGTTTTGCTTGCAACACTTATTAGTCAAGCCATGACTCTCAGCCCCTGCAATTTTTTTTAAAAAGCATTTTTAGGAGATCAGAATGCTGAAGATTTTTACTTTACCTGCACACAAGGGAAATTTCTTGCTCAGGTATTGGTGACCTCTATGGCCAAGTAGAGGGCAAACATTACTGACAGAACATCTGATGCTTCAACTGTCTGCTCGAATGGTCTCACATATATTCCAAAGAAAGGGGAGAGTAAGGTAGAGGAAAAGGTGCAATGGGAGTTAACTGCTTCACATCTCCAGCAAAGGTAGAGTAGACTAAGTAGTGATACATGTGGTGATTATTTGTTTTCGTATCTCATCTGAAACAGCATGGACTCTTCCCAGGGAGCTACGGAGCTCACGTATTCAGTGAGTGGGAGGCTAACAGCTACTAGGGGTGCATGAAAAAGCACACATGGAATGACATCATTTATCATAAGCTATGTCCGGAGATCAAAATACTATACATGCTATTATTTAATTTCACTGTTAGTAAAATATATCCTTTAAAGAGACTAGCAACATATGGCTTCTTCCCCTTAACTAGGGCAGAAGAGACACACCACTGAAAATTAAGTTTCAGAACAAAAAAACCCAGGTTAAATACTGAAGATGCAGGACATTTCATAATGTCACTCTCCCATACCTTCAGCAGGTACTTTTTGTAAATTGCAAACATCAGCTTTATGTGAAAAGTATGCCTGTAAACGTCTGTTTTGTACTTTGCTCCTTCAGAATTTGTCTATACATATGGGAAAAGAGGCTATACAAAAAAACCAGCTTCAAAAACAATACCATTAGCCCTATGTAATATTCCAGCCTGCACACAACTTTTCTGCTACACACGATGTTTACTCTTAGATGCAGATGGTTTGGTCCAATCCAAGGTTAATTAAACAAGACAATGAAATGGTTACAAATATTGAAATAGGCCCTTTACACTCCCAGGCCAGCACAGCACCAAATTCCATAAAATTTCTTGCAGTGTTTTCAGCTATTACCAATCTGAATAGATTAACTAAACTTGAAATGTTAAATCTAGATTTTTATTAATTCACTGGCAGAAGATCAGTGCAAAAGAGTTCCAAGAGAAAATGGAACTATCATATCACTACCATATACTGATCTGAATAAACACATAGGTTGCAAATAAAAGCTTCCCAAAAATCACAAATTTGTGCATTTATTATTCAGCATTTAATAATTTTGATTTTCTACCTGTTTTCTAGATCAGAACATGCTGAACATTAAAAACTTAATGTAAGCACAAACAGCCAAATATCACAGTTCAATTTTAACTTGGCATTTCACAATTTATATGACATATACATTCTTAAAGTGTTGAGTCCTTTCTGTTTTTTTCTTACCCCCTCCAAAAAAAAAGAGAAAACCCCTGTAAGCAAAGAGTTAGACATGCTGATGACACATTCCCCCTCCCTCCCCAAAAAACTGATAAATTACTCTAACTTACCAGCTCCCAAACATAATGAAACCTGCTAAAGATTTGCATCTTCCTGCCTCAGTGATGCCTGCAACTCCTTGTCTAGTGAAAGACAACATACACTCCCTCAGTCTTTTCTGTCCAAACTACTATGTAATCACATTTTCCTTAAGGTTTGGAGAACTGCTGCAGAAAATGCAACTGCCTTTTCCAATGAATCTAGGTTTACACTTTGAAGACATATACAAGCATGACAGGAAAACTCCTTTGTATCATTTATCATGCTGTATACACTCTCAGTCCAAATTGTCTAAAATACGGAGCCTTCCTCATGAAGTGCATTTAGTGTCACTTTTAATTGCTTCCCTGATTGAATTCCACCTTTATAGAGCAGAGAGACACAAGAGTATACAGACAAGTGTTTAATATTTTCCTAACTGTACATAGCAGACTACCAACTGGGGGGGGCGAGGGAGTAAAGCTTCCATATGCTTTATCCATAAAACCTCATTGGTAAAGTTGTGGTCAGGAAAAAGACGAACAAACAAAAAACCACACTTCATTTCAATTAAAAGGATAAAAGTAGAAAAAGGAACTAGATAAGCTGCATCTGATCTCATAGTCTCTGTTACTTTATAATTAAAGAATAGGAGAAAAGCAGTCACATTATAGTTTATTTTTATCTCAGCTCAGGGAAAAGTTTAGTGAATCACAAAAAATAATCAGGGGGTGGAGAGAAATACATCCATATCTTTCCAGTGTCCTGCATAAGAGAATCACATGTTAATAAACCCAGTCACTTCAGGTGATTCAGAATTTTGTATTCCTGAAGCAAACACGCAGCTGATAAAGACTGAATTTTAAACATAATTTCTTTACTAATTACGTGTCAGTTAGGATTAAAGTACACGTCCCCTAATCAGCACTAAGAAAGTTAAGCCAGTATTGTGAAAGTTACACTGAAGTGCTATATCACACATTTCATCCAGATTTGAAGGAAGGAACATCTATGGCTTCTATTCTGATACACATTTTTCAAGGTTGGCCAGCTACGGGAAGAGAAACATGTAGAAGTGGGTTATGTAAGTGAAGCACACAGCATGCTTTCATGCCTTTTTTTTTTTTTCCTTTTTCTTTAAATGTCCATGAGGGATAGCAAATCAGCTGGCAATGGAAAAACAACTTTCATTTCCACAATTAATACTAATCTGGTGGGTCACAGAATACTTACTATTCTTGACAGTGTTTCAGTAAATGCATTTTCATATGAACTTATCAATTTATCACACATACTGGATTAATTTCATAGCTTGCATGTTTTCTGTTTCTCTACATATAAGTTTCTTGTTACCGAAACATAAACCCCCATACTTTTCAGTAGCAGAGTTTTCAGTTTACTTTCAATATGAAGATTGCTAGCAGGTCATGACAGCTATTCAAGCCATTCTACCAGTGAATCTTAGGGAGTGTGAGTATCAGCATTTTAACATTGAGTGTGTATTCAGTATGTTTTTTACTTTAGAGAAGCAGAATTTTTGAAGTTTTTAAAAAGGCAGTAAATGGGGGAGCATAACTAGCAAAGAAAACACTAATCTGAAAAGTTACTCCAGCATATACTAAACAGAAGAAACTAATTGTGCAACCCCCCACCGTTTAGAAAGTTGATTCCATTCCCATCCCATCGGCAAAAGAGATGTTTGTCATGCTTAAGTTGAAAGTCCCTTGAGGAAGGGCTTAAAACAACAACAGACACAACAAGTAACAAGGTTTACAGTCCAAGACAAAGTGAAAGAAGGCAAAATAGCCCTTGAGCACACAAGTCACTTGAAATAGTGGCACATGTTTGGTTTTTGAGACAGGAATTAGTTTACATTACTTCTCAACAGCAGCTCTGGCTTATGCCTGCATTATGACTCTGGTAGCATGTGGTTTCCTATCGCCTTGTTTACTCAAGATGTTAAAAATTTTCAAATCATTCTCACTCCAGCTGTTTCCTGAGCAGTTCTTCGGATGCAGATTTTTTTTTTTACATGAAAAAGGGATTTGAATACAACGAAAAGTATTTGAAGTTCAATGCAAATGTTTTTCCTGTATCATTTCCTTCATTTTAGAACAAAATATTAGCTCTGTCACAAAACCAAAAGCCATAATGCTGTTTACAGGTCCAACCGTTTTTTAAATTATTTCTTAATTCAACATGTTACTACAGCAATGGGCTGCAAACTGCTCAGAAAACAAGAGTTATAAGTCTCAAGTGATACTGACACTGTGATACTACTCTTTTGATATGAACCTTTCCCTATACAAATATAGTGCAAAGATTTCCCAGAATGATCATGACATTTCTAGATTAATTCATAGTGTTGCTCCAGATTAACATGGAAACAATAATTTCTTACACTAAAAAAAAAAAACCCACAAAACTGTTTCCTGCATATTTGCTGAGTAAATAGAACACAAAAGTTAAAACAAACAAAAATACCAGACATCAATTCTCTTAAAATAGAAATCAAACTATAGTGGTGACCAAGCCCTTCCATGACTTTTATATTAGCCTCTCAGACAACAGCCTAATTAAATAGGATGATGATTACAAAGAAAAGTGAGATGAGTTATTTAATTAGTGCAATTATTCTGCATGCATATGCACATATATGCAAACACAGGTAGTGGGTGGTAGGTGTGTGCACATGTGCACTTACCTATACATTTCAGAAAAGGAACTGTTCTTTATCCACACAATGAAGAAAAGGCATCATTCTGAAGCATTAGATTAAAACTTCAGTATATTAAATGCATATATACCTCATGGAATATTCAACACAAGAAGCAGAAGTTTCAGTAGTTAGAAAACATGGAAGGATTTGGCACTGGAGGATTTGGGAACATATGCCTAAGAGGCAGCCCAGTGGAAAGCAACATGACAAGCCACGAGAAGAGAACAAGGTTGCCATCCTGGTCAGGTTGACTAGATGATAAATAATGATATAAAGAACAAGATCCAAGGTCTAAGGCAGTTCAAGATTCTGAAATCCTGATGAGCTGGAAGCAAACTTGGTGGGAAGGTTGGGAAAAGCAAGTAGGAGGAGACAAAAAACAGACAACATGATTTGAGCAAGAAACCAAGAAAGTGATTTGACAAGCTCTAAGAGGAATCGCCAATGAAGCATGTCCTCCAAAGCCTAGATGCATGAAACTATGCATTATCACCACAAAAATGTATCAATGACTTCACTGATAAGGACAGAAGACAACATATACAACTTGAAACACAGAACTTTAGAGGACAACATACAATACAATCTGACAGCCCTGATTATATTTTAGAGACAGTATAAAATTGTCATTCAATTAAAGAACAATATATAAATAACCTCATTGTGATTGGCATTTGTACTAGAAACCAAGAATATTTATATTACGCACAGATATAGGTTTTCAAGTTTCATTAAGCTTAAAAGTTTCAATAACCATTGATATTATTAGAAACAGTTTACCTGTAAAGCAGCCTTAAGCAGCATTTGAAGAAAAGCAAAGACTGTAAAAACCATTGGCAACAGCAATGACCATAATTCAGGGTAACAAGTTATTATTTCTATGGCCAATTAAAAGATAATTGCCCATAACTTACATCCTTCACCAAGCACTGCTGTTCTCTAACAGTAAAACCCTCAACTACTGCCCACTCCTGAAACTAGGCCTATTGTGCGCAAACAAATTAAAATTTGAACATCAATGTTAATTCTCAAGTTCCATATCTTTCCTATTTCCCCTCTTTCTTCCCCTTCCTTGCCTGTAGTTATCTCCTGTCTGCCTCCAAACACAGCACATCAGCACTGCCCTAAAACCCATCATCGTGTCTGCTCAGTTTCACAGTTAGAGCAGTTCTAATGCTTCCCACCAACTCCTGCAGGAATGACAGGATGAAGTGACAAAAACATTTTCAGCAACTAAAAAAGTTACTTTTTCCCATTAGTATTAATATTGACTCCTACTAAGGCTACCTAAATTATAATCTTAGCATGTTTTCATTCCTGAATTTATTTACTCATCAGATTTCATTTACATCAGGCTTTTTTTTTTTTAATTTATGCCACCTGAACAGATACAGAATGTATTTGAATGAGAATAAGAAGTGTTGTATTACCTTTAAACTGGTATCTAATCCCTTTAAAAAGTACCTGCAGTATTAGCTCACTACTGGAGAGTTCAGTGGAAATATTTTTAAATTCTAGCATTATACCTGCAAAACCAATACTGATCTAGAGCTTCTGAAACATCCAAACAACAGGAGTCATTCCCCCCATAACGTGAATTATCTACATTTTTCTCAACTAGCAAAAATAAGAATTATTGCATATACAAATCTTCCCAAAACAGCAATTTAATGTTATCACTTTCATATTTGTGCACAGTCGAACACCATACATTAGACAGCCTTTACACAAGTTTACTTTTGCTCTTCATATGCAATAGCAGCTGCCACACTCTACCTCAAAGGGCTGCACACTTATTTGGCACAGTCCAGAAAGAAAGTGATACATATGACGACTGTAGGACTGTGCAGCATATACACCTCTTCTACAGATACATGGAAAGAGAACAACTTTTACAACTATATTGAATCCAAGATGTAATCGGAATTAAGAGTTCTAATGAAATGTTGAGTCCCAGCATTCAAATAAATTCTACTGTTCTATTTATGTTTCAGTCAAAACTAAACATAATATTCTGTTCTGTAATACAAAATTAGTATCTGCAATCCAACCCTACACTTAATGATGTGTAAGTCTATTTCTCTGCACTAAAGATACCACCCCTCACAGTTCCGATGCAGAGATGCACTGCTGGGGAGAGATGCCAGAGACACGAAAATGTGTGTGCAGTCTGCCTTTTACATTCTCTCAAGTACCTTTTGTTGAATAGTGGAGTGCTTTTGCTCCATATCTCTCTTCTCCTTTGCAGCATCTACAGCCAACTGATCCAGCTGTAAAGAGAAACAGAAAATTGGATCTTTAGAAATCAAGAGAAATTTGGCTCAGTAGATTTCATAATGCTGACAAAAAAGAACACATTATGTCTAGACATTGCATGACTTGTTTTATTTGCATAATATAATTACTTCTCTGGTCACAAAGTGTTTACCTTGAATAACCACTGAAGCCTCGTTTAAAGCACTGCACTACCATCCTGAATTAACCTCTACGAAAGGTGTACATTTCTTGTAAGCCTTAGAAGAAATGTTTCAAAGAACAGCATGGTGCCAAGCATATGCGACTCTATACCGCATTGGTGCTCAGTCTCCGAAGAGAATGACTCATGCTTTAGCTGCTCTTGCTGGCTGACTGGCCTATGCAGCAGTGCTGGCATTAGCAGCAAAAACTAGAAGGAGCGAATGCTTGTGATTTTTCCCCTCCACAAAGGGGGGGAACTGCCTCGACCAGGCTTTTGTATTGACAGTTTTGATCAGGTCACCAGCGGTATTTGAGCAAGATTCCTTAGGTAGAACCATTCAAACTATTTCTAGTTTCAGAAGTAACAATAATATTTTGCAAAAAGGAGAGACTGACGCAACAGAGAAGATTTAAGTTAGCATCCTTACAAAGTCTGTGATAATAAAAAAGACACTACCAAAAACTTGCTGCAAGCATGTCTATAGCACTACCATATAAACTTCTTCCTTTTATAACCAGATGGGGAAAAAAGGCAGGAAATTTAAGATATCCTGTAAGAGAGTAAGGTGGGTTTTTTGGGGGTTTTGTTTGTTTGGTTTGGGGTTTTGTGGTTTTTTGTTTGTTGTTGTTCTGGGGTTTTTTGTGGGTGGTGGGGTTTTTTGGTTTTTTTTTTGTGGGGGGGGCGGTTTTAACAGACTTTGATGTTTAAATAAGAAATATGGTGAAGTGGAGGAGCAGATGCTGCCTGAAAGACCAGTTAGCTTGGTAGTTATGCGACACATATGGAGTCTGATGAACTCCTTTATCCAGCCTGTAATACAAGACTGCCGTTAACCCCAGTCACAGCACCTTACCGAATAACGATGCAGATGCAATACTGAACACAGCGGTACAGCCCGCAGCTTTACATCTGTGGGACAGACCTCATTATACTCCAGGCCTAGAACGAGGAGACCAGGAACAGTGTACACCACCAGTTTTCCAGCTGAAGTCAGTCACGTGGCAGAGGGCACAGTATGACTAACAGAACCTCTAATTCACACGCAAATAGGATCGCCTCCACCCACTCTCATAACCACAAGTGAGAACCCCTGCCAACTCTGGTCATTTTCCCCAGTGTTGCACTTCCCCTGCTTGAACTGATACAAATGAGAGAAAAAAGGGACAATAGCTGGCTCTTACAGCCTTGTGCTAGACAGTCTCCAACAATTAAGGAGCCATCAGATAGTTGGGACATCTGGATCCAATTCCACACTCTGTTACTTTTCTTAACTCTTCTCTCCCTGGCTTCTTCTCTGGCTCAAATGGCTACACCAGCACTTTCACACCTTACAGGTATTTGTGAACATGAACACGTTAAAGACTGAAGTGTCCAGATGTCATATTTATATAACTATATGACTTAAAAATGATAGAAGAGCCTCTAAAATAGAGACTGGGACGCCATTGTGCTCAAAGACTGTTTTGCATTGAGAACCCTGGGAAACCCATTGTTTTGTGATAAATATGAGAACTGGTCCAAGGGCTGGTCAAGACTTTATAGGAATCAAGTTTCTTGCTAAAACCTCAGATTCAGGAATCTGCACATGGCCCCCAGGAAATTTTTCCTCCTACCCTGCCAGGTGAAGCAGAAGGTAGCCAGTTTCAGATTAAGATAAATTAGAGCTAATTGCTCTAAACACAAGTGTTTGAGGATACATTTACCACAGCACAAGTGCCAAACCAAACTTCTTTACAGCAGTTCACTTCATCATTTACTTTTCACTATCAAGACAGCACCGCATCATTCCAGTTTCCAAGCTCAGACCGGAATTTCTTCTTTTCACACAGGTGAGCAATACATCAACTGGCTTAAAACAAAGACGACCAACAGCGTACAACTATCAAGAGCTGTGGCCAATCACACAACTAAACTGTCAAAATCCCAGTCATTATACCACAACTGGGTAGTCTTCAAAAAACTAAGTTTTTCAAAATAACTGCATGTACCGGTAAATGTATTTTTATGAACATATAGTGCTATAAGTGGTATGCTGTAGAGATCTAAGACTAAAATGTTTAGCTTTTTGAATAGTCATCTCAGAACGAAAATTCACATAGGTTTTCTTTTTAAACTAATACCACATTTCACGTGAAAAGTGTCAAATACCATAATTTCCATGCAAAAGTTTGTATTACACTTGTGTGCCATTAAAGATTCCCCTACAATGATCTGATTAACAAGTAATCCTACCCTGACCTAAAATATCCAGAAAGCAAAATTGCTCAATCCTATTCCGTCATGTAAACCAGTTATTTTGAAAATGCAAACCAAAAGAATTAAAAATTTTAACTATACTATTTCAGATCACTTCAATTTTAATACTTCAGGTGCTGTTAAACCTTGTAATTAAGATCATACACAAAATTTACCCGCGAATGAACTCACCAACAGAAAGAACATGACAATATTCTCGGAAAAATCTAGCAAATCCCTGTTTTGTTGTGTCACAACATACCTTCTCTCTGACCCATTACAGGCAGAAGCTTCAACCAATACAAACTGCAAAGCCATTAACCGTTAAACTTCCATAAGCTATTTACAAGTCTGCGTCTGTCATGAAAAATATCCATTACTTAAATGCCAAGGTCTGCCACAGAAGAAAAATTCAGCAAGTTGTACAACTTTAGGGTCTTCAGTCTATCTTTGCTCCAATTGCAGTATGTTTTAAACATTCTCAGCTTTGGATTTTCTAAATTTAACTCCTTCAGTTGCTATGACACCAGCACCAAGATGAATGTTACATAATGCTCCTTACCAGATCAAGCAAAAGGATCATCAGCCATTCAAAAACAACCTTGTGTTCCTTGCGTAAATAATGTCAATGAAATGGAAACGTCAAAGCCTAGCTGGTAGCATAAACCACTACCAACTCCATAGTTTTTGTCTCCTTTCCCCATCCCCTCTTCTGCAGAGGTACAGGACACATTCTATACTATCAAAACACTACAGTTCAACAATTACAACCCAAACTGGAAGGATGTGAAAGAATAAAAGGCACAACTAAGGACAGAGTCACATGCACCTGAACCTTTCAAGTACCGCTATTACACCAAACAGAGGGCTGTACTTGTACAGTCACTCCCCTTCTTGATGGCAGTGCCAGCTCAAGCAGCCTGTCTCTTCTCAGCTCCATCACTTGCTCGCCACACACGTGCACACACACAAGCACACCCCTCCCCGACATGCGTTTGTACAAGTAATTAAGACCCACAGTAACCTGACTGGGGGACTAGTCTAGCAGAAAAATAATTATTTAGTCATTTGATTGCTGGGAGTTGTTTTCTACAGTTCCCAATCTGGTTCACTGCACAGACACAGAAGCAGGTTGAGGGACACAGATGACAACAGCGCTGTGGCAGGAATAACCAGCTCAGAACAATGTCATTTCTTAAGACATTCAGTGACACACTTACTTGAAATGAATGCAAATACAAGTTTGCTGTCATATATTTGCTTTTGTATCTGGATAGACACTTAGAATTCGGGTTGGCTTTGTTTTGTGGATCAGGTTAGGAAGTGGCTATAGAGGGTTTTGCATCAGTGCAGTTGTTGCAAGTCCTCGGATAGAGGCAAAAAAAAAAAGAGAAGTGTTGTACAAGTATTTCCAGGCTCATTCAACTTGCACTGAAAACAAGTCAAGACACTGCTGAGTCTTCTTGCTGCACCACTGTCAGATCTTCAGTTGAATATTGCATGTTCTTAATCTATTTTGCATAACCATTTTTAATGTCTCCTGTGTGCAGTCAGCTGTGGTCTATCTAACCTTTTCATGAGTCCCTCACTGAAAACCCAAAAGTTGCAACTGTGTGTTCTTAAACTTAAACAACAAAACTGGGCAAGAAGGATTCAATGTATGAACTCAGTTTTGCACTACTTATTAAAATCAGACTTCTCTTTTATGGTTTAAGTTGCTAACATCAATTTTATTTTTGGCACACTGCATAATTTATACAATAAATAATGTATATAAGTAGAAGGAAAAAACCTAATCTACTTTTTATTGTTAAATATATTTATAACATGGGTCATATACAAGAATTTTTAAACCAAATTAACCCAGTGTCCTGAATACCATAGAGTACCTCAAACAGCACCACATGGCTATGTTTAAGTATGTAAATCCCAAAGGTAGTAGTAATTTTAGTAAACAGACAACTTTCCGTTTCTAACTCTTTTCATTCAAACCACTTACAGTGTATTTTTATGCTTTGCCTTTATCACACTGCAGTTCCCTTTTTGTTGAATAAATTTATGATGTACCTGGTATGTACGCATATATCAAGTTTTCATCCACTCCAGCATATAGTTATGAATTTTTAAAGTAATTTGTTACCTGTGCACCAAGATCTTTCATGTACGGCTCAAGTTCACTAAAAAGATCATAGCCTTGATGGAAAAAAACCAGATGGGCATACATAAATGATAACATCTAGAAGGAAAAAAGTATATTTTTTAAAAGGATAAATATTTATCAGATATCACATAAATATATCACTTAACTAATCCACATGAACAAACTTAAAATACAATTCCAGGGTTAATTTCTGTTCTCTTGTGTCCCGGCAATTTTACATCAATATCTCATGAGCTTCCGATGTTGTAAATAAACATGCAAGGTAAAGGCAGCAAAGAACCAACCCAAAAATCTCAGAAATTAGTTAATAGGATTAACCCCATTAACAAAACAAATCTAGTTAAGGGCAGAAAATTACTTCTAATTCATGTCACCTGAAACTTTTGTTATCTCCTGTTTAACTAGGACATGTAAATTAGCGAGGAGGCCACAGAATATATTTACTAATGACCGAAAACCATAACCTTTACGAACATAGCTGAGAAGACTGTCCAGTCTTAAAAAAGAAAACAAGTTGGGAAGATGCAGAGTAGAATGGCAAGCAGCTATAAAGCTGTGATCCAACTGAAGGTTTTGCTATTTAAAGGAATTAAGGAAGTTATAGGAGTGCAACTTTAGACCTTTGAAAGAAAAGCACCATTTAATTTGGCGGTCTCTACCTCAGTAAACTTTTTACAGAGATAATAAGAAGCAGAAAAGGGAATACAGAAGAAAACTAGCATGCAGATATAGCTGTATATTAATTTAGCAGATACCATACTAAAGCATATTGTATATTTGCTATTACAATATGCTATTTACATAAAAAATACCATTTTTGTAGAAAGAACTGAATCCATCTTAGAATAGATTATAAGCAGTACTTATTGTTTATGAATGAATATAGGAGACCTAAACAGCAGAATTCTTGGCAGACAAAGTTCGATTTTAACCATGAAACACAGACCAAAGAGTCAACAGCAGTGAAAACCTTAAAGTGTTCAAGTCTGAACCAAAAGGATTGCCAAAAAAGTTAAGCTTCTATGCCCAGTTATAGTAAAGGCCAAACTGACTGTCACCAAAGTGCCAAACGTACTGGTAATGTTTTGATGGGTAAAAGAACTAAATTTTTAATATATTGCTTTGCAGTCACATTTTTAATCTCAGATGTGTTTAATATTTTCTATGCAGAAAATAAAATATATCTTACTGATTTTAAGATTTCTGCTCTCCTTTTAGACTGAAGAACGTTGATCTAGGAAAAAAAACAAACAAACAAGCAACTTATTTTATTCTACTTGCAAATTTTCCCCACAGAAGTAAACTTCAAACTACTTCCAAATAATCATATCAAAGCTTAAAACATTGGAAGAACATAACTCAATATCAGACTTCACAAAGCACTTCTAAAAGAAGATGCATGCTAGTTTTGTCATGATATTAAAGTGACGCCACCAGAAAAAGCTTGGGAAGCTAGAATTCCACAGTGATAGTCACAACTTTCTTACATTAGAAAGGAAAATATAAGACATCACGTGCCAGCTAGAAGTAATATAATACACCTTTCAAGCAAGGAAAATTGGTACCCGTTTTCAAGAGATTGAATTCAACGCGTTTCAAATACCCTTTCTGACAGTATGAGCTAATCCAGCCCACCAACTTCTTTAAGAAGCTGCACTCAGCACCACTGCCATCTCCTGCCAGGGGAAAGGAAAGGACAGGGGCATGTTTATTTTTCTCCTCGGGCTGACATTGTCTGAAGTGTCCCAAAACTGGGATATAGCCCCAGCCTCTGAAACAAGCAAGATCATAATAGCTGCAATAAGTAACTTTTCATATATACTTGCATTTTTAAGCCAGCTGAAGTCACTGCCCAATGGTGTTGCCCTAGAACTTGAAGAATTTCACATTATAGAGAAAAAAAAAAAACTGATTTTTGACATTCATCTACTTCCTCTATCCTCTTTGTCCCCTAGTCTTTAAGGTCGTCATCCAGAACTACAGATTTTACTGTAAAAGCCCCATTTAGCAGAAACATGCATGATTTTGTAATTTAACACCTCTATGTCAGTTTAAAATTCCAGCAAAAGAAATAAACTTACTGAAGCTATAATCAAAACCAGATTGTACTTCTATACTTAAATAGTCAGTATTTTGGAAAACCTTCTGCAGCAAAAATAATTAAGATTTGTTTGCATAGAACAAACCCTCAACTCACGAGGCAAAAAAAAGGAAAGCAAAGGTTTTGAAATACAGTTTAAAGGCAATATAGCCACAAAGAGACCACAGTTGTGAAGCCACTTTTCCAGAAGAAAAGAGTCACGCAAGTAGAAAGAATTCCTAAAGCTGAATTCATTTTTGCCCACATTAATTAAGAGATGCTGAAACTTTTCCCTATTACTTTAAATGCATCTTTATCACAGGAACTGCTCATACTTTGAACATACGAATTCCAGGAGGCAAACGATCCGCAGTTCAATGCACACACAGGACGTGGTCTATAGTAATGACTGCCAGCTTCCCCGCCCGCTACTATTTGATGTTAGTACAAATAATCAAGTGGTTCATAATTCATCTGACTTTTTAAACATCAAAATGAACTCTGTCCTTAGTGTTCAAACGGCAGGAGTTCAGTGTCGACCACTGACCACCATATCTGTGCACGTGCCCGGGCTGATCACATCGATTCCACTTCACTTTAACAGGTAATACACGCAATTTAAAGAACAGTTAACTAAGCTTTAAATAACTGACTGGACTGTCACAAATCAAGATGATAACGTCTAATATAAAACTAACGTAATTTTAAAGGGCTGTTCTGTGTTTGATCACAGGATAACCCCAGACCCGTTTAGGAGCCCCCAACCCCTCGTACCATCCCAGCTGCAATAATCCCGTTTTGCTGTAGTTGTGGGTAACTATGAAACAGATGAACTGTAAGTATAGACAGAAAATTTATTATTATTTCACAGGATTCAAAGCAGTAGGACAAAGAACACCTCTCAACACTTTATAGGAGATCTGCACTAAAAAGCAAAAGAGTAGTTATGTTCTTGATTTCCCCTATAGCAGAATGCCAAACTCCAAGGCTTCTAGACAAGTAGGATTTGTTAAATGAAACCCAAAGCAAACAGCTGAAATTGTAGTAGTAGCCAATATCCTACATCAGAATTATTCAGTAATTTGTATTTCCTAGGCTAGGTTACAGTTTTTCCTTCAAATATATAAGGAACTACACCATAGCCGACTCACGAAATACATTTAGGTAAGTATGTATCAGGCAAATACCGTTTGTTTAAAATGAACGTTCAAGTTGAAAATTAAACTGTGTCATTACAGCAACGGCACTGAATACCAAAGCATTAAGCAATAAGAACGTATCAAGTAAATTAACTTTGCTCAGATTTCCTTAAAAAAAGAAATTACTTGCAGACAAAGTAATTCCTTTTTCACTGAATCTCCACAGCTTCCGAAGAACTTCTAAAGGACAGATCTCTAACTACACGTAACAGATGGTTTTGAAAAATAACTTCTACTGCTGCACTTACCTGAAGAACATAATCCAGAGCTATGTGTCTAAAACATTTCCGTGTTGCAGTCAAAATATTGGTTGCTTCCTCTACTTCGTGTTGCTTATTTCTTTGAACTTGGGCATTTTTAACTAGAGCATTCTCTTTTTCTTCACTAACTTTTTCAAACTGTTTCTTTGCATCTTTAAATTTCCTAATATCTCTAAAGCAAAAGGAAAGATGGATAACAAATGAATTCCAAAGCATGAAAAAAAGTGTTTAAAGATACACTAGACAGACCACGCTCGTGACCATTATAGCTAGTTCCTTTTTTTCATATACTTCAATAAATGCTTGGATCAAATGGAAATCATACAAAGTATGACAGAAGCTTCTCTGTCTTTCTCTACTGAGGAAAGGACAAAACCGAGATTTAAATAAATGCATCTCATGCTTACTGGGGAAAAGCTTTGGTAAGCACTTTTTTCCCCTAAGCTTAGACAATGACAACATGTAATTAAGATCAGTAAGTCATACTATTGCAACATTTCTGCAGCTGGATCTAAAGCCTCACTGATTTGGGGTGTTTTTTGACAAGCTTTAATATGCACTTCTCAATTTATGGCTAATGATTTTTCAGGAAAGATGTTTCACCAACCCACTCAAATCAGATGTTTTAAAAATTCTATTTTACCTACAATTTTCCCATTACAAGGGCACATTAACTTACTCTTTAACGAAAGTCTGAAGCTGTGCTTTAATTGATCTTTGGGTTTGGTCAAACAGGATCTGAAAGAAAAGCATTATTATGTAGGTCAATAACTTAGGGGTACTCATAACTTTTCATTTTAGACATTCACATGGTTATTCTGCAGAATTAGATGAGAATTATGATTAAACCAATGTGTCTAATATCAAAATATAAACCCCTTCAAAGTAGTTTTGAAATAAATAAAAAATAAATAAGGAATAAAATAAGGAAAATAACACAAACCCAACACTTTTTGCTGGTCTTTTCTTAAAGACAAGAGTTACTGGCACCTTATTCTCTCATCCTGACAATGTAAGACATGCCCACTTTCATAGAACATGCTTATTATGATTATTAAACAGTCAAGAATATTACTGTACAAACAGCCTTGAAGAAACAACTTTGAATGTTAAGTAACAACTTTTTTTGATTCTTAGACTTTCACAATTTAACCAACAACTAAAAGAGAAATGAAACCATAGAAGAAAATGCCCTTAACTTCTGGCAAAAAACCACAGACTGAAATTAATGCTGAAAATGTAACATACGTGAGTAATTAGTACCATCTCCTTTCCATAATATGTTTGTAAAAAAAAAAAAATACCCACTGTTGAACTGCTAAGAAGAATGGCTGTTTCTTTTTCTAAGATTAAGTGTTCTAAGCCATGCTTCTCAAATTTCTGATGATTTAGGGAGGCTGGGGGGAGGGGGAGGGGCAGAATATAATCTACTTATTCAAATTGTAAAGCTTGAGAAATTTGTTAAGTTACATTTCCAAGGCCAAAGCATACCTCAATGTTAGACAACTTGTATTTTCTCTTATGACCCCAGAAATTCTGATTGAGGAATGAAAACACACATTCCTTCAGCTTCCCATCTGCCCTCTGAGTTTTAGGCCAGAATGCAATGGCTATGAGACAAATCCTTTTGCCACTTATCATTGTGCAGACCACAAATGATGCCTTAATTTCCAACTCCTCTACACCTCCCATTTTGCCTAACAGAAATACACAAGGCACGATCACAAAAGATAAAGAAGTGAAAGAATATAAGGAAGTAGTAGTTAGCCCAACTGAACAGAATCTCTTCCAAAAGGTAAAGATCTTTAAGTGTTAAGTAATTTTATTGAAAGAACAAGTCAAGAACTCAAAGTTTCAGGTCAGACAATGTTTTCTTTAAACATTCTCAGTCTTGGTTTCCCTATTCACAAAATTTGGGAATGAAAAGCCATGCAATGCCGAGTGCTGACAGCAAAACCCTTACCAGCTTGTTCTAGAAACACTGAAGGAAGGAAAACATGACTGAGTTTAAGCCACCCATTAACAGTGGTACTATATCCTCCATCCAGTCTCCATTTTTGGAGGTTTTCAAGACCAAATGGGATAAAACCCTAAGCAAACTGCTCCAACCTCAGAGCTGACCCTGATTTAGGCAGGCAGTTGAAACAGACATCTCCTGAGGCCCCCTCCAGCCTGAATTGTCCTATATCTAACAGTAACACATGGAAGATCTTGTTTGTATTCCCACTTTGAGAAACCAGAAAAACAGACAACTAGAATAGATAAAGAACTTCGACAAGCTGGAAGTCATGCTGGGACTACTCCCACTGCTGACATTTAAGCTTGCCAGTGCCTAAGGAGTGCACCAATCAAGATCAATGCAGAAAGGGTATAACCAGATGGGAACTCAACTGATTCGTGGACTCCCAGAAATATGAGCCCTTGCAATTCTGCTTACAGTAATGAAGAGGAAAAAAGTGCTAGGCAGAAAAATACATACACATTTTTTCCCCTAAAAGAACAGAAAAAAGTGCCCAGACCATGATCTGACTAGATTTACAGCCTTTCCAACACGTTACCTTTCATAAACTCCAAACCACATCTAAGAAAGCTGCTATTTGCCATAAGCTGTCAAAACTACTCCCCCACTGCTGAATCAGTGAAGATGCTGCATTAGTCTGGTTCCTAGCCTTATTTGTAGCAAAGCCTCATATGAGAAAACAGAGTCATCCAAATCTCAGTGGGACCATCTCCTATCCCTTCCCTCCTTCCGCTGGAGGATGCCTGCCTCTCCTCTTTCTTCCTCTTGCTTCTTCTCACTCATGATGGCTCTCCTGCCAGCTTGGTCAACAACAGAGCTGACACTCTGAGCTAGTAAGTCCTGGTGAACTAAGCAGATTCACAAAAAGCAACACGGGACCACAACATGTCTAGCAAAGCTCTGTATCAGAACCCCATAACATGCCTCATTTCTTATGTTTGTGCCTTTTGGTAAAAGCCACTATGCTTGAGCACAGCAAGGAAGTGGAGGGAAAAAAAAGCAGGACAGAAGTCAGGGTAGTCCCACTTAGATCTGCAAAGAAATCTTTTAATATGGCTGGTTCTTTGCTTTCTGCCTTCAAACTGCCCTAAAGGGAGAGTTGTGCTGTGCCAAATTTTACCAAAGCACTGCAAGCCACAATCATGTAGAACAATAACAGCAGCAAGAATATTGGACCTAGGTCAGATGTCTCAAAAAGAGCATACCATGTAGCAAAGACATGGTTAAGAGGGTAGCCAGCAGCAAGAAGTGTGATGAAGAGTGTGAAACAGGGACAGCCAACTAGATTCACCTGCTCAATCTAATCTGCAGAAATCACTGACATGAAAGTAACACTTTCTCCCACTACTGCTGCTTTGAACCTTTGCACTAGCTTCTCTCTACCATCAAAGTATCGCTGTCCGCTTACTCCCCTCTTTACAGTTTTCATTATGTTAGGTGTAGATACGTACACCTCATATAATGGAGGAAATCCAACTCAATAGTATTAACCTGCTTCCCTTTGTTTCCCTTTCCTTCTAAAAGCATGCATTTCCAAAAAAATGCTTAATAAGACAGTTTTAGGAAGCTAAGTGAATGCTGACAAACTTAATTTCAGCTGAAGCTGTTTGAACTGCATTCTCTGTATCTCATTACATTTTAAACTCCTGGTAGTATAAAAAAAAATAAATTTAAGTGCCCTGCGTATTTTCAGCACTTTCGGGACACTGCATTTGCTTTCCAGCAATTTGCTGGAAAATGAAAGAAAAGCAGTAGGGGCCAAGGGAAGAGGAAGAAAACAGAAGAACACACACATCCTTTTGGCATTCAGGATACAAGACTAAACCCTTTAGAGGAGAAAAAAAATGCATCAGTTTTCAAGCCAGGCAAAACTGAGCTTTCTGATGAAGTCTGACATGCTAAAAATCACTATTAGCATTTTCTCCCTTTCTCTACACTTGTCTAAATCTGTCATACTTCCAAAAAGAAAACTACACACAAATTAGAGGTGCTTTATTTTGTGCATTATAAAGGATGAGAAAAAAAAGTAGAAGTTATGGAAAAGGTAATCATTATTTCAGTCCAGCACAGAAATATGCTCACAGTTCGTCACTGCTGCCTATCAGTTTGATTAAAAAAGATGAAACAATCCAGTATTTACTGTGTCTTACAGCACTGGGTTTTAGAAAAGCTTACAAATTCCAAACAAAAAATAAAGTGAGATAAAAACCTGCAGAAAAGGGGATATTTATAAATACTTCATAAACAAAATAGAAATAAAATATTTACAAGTATAAAGTGAGAGGTATTTAATACCACTTAAACCATGACTTTGCAAATACTATCAACAAGAGAAGCTTTAGCATTATTCTTTTATCAAATATAACTGGAGGTAAGCTACCAGTGTCATGTTTCTGCTAGAAATACTTACATTGTGATAATTGATCATTTCCTGTAAGGTGTCAGAGAACTTTGTCAAGCTGGTCTGTAAAGAGAAAAACAAAGTGGTTTAAGTTAAGCCCTACCAAATACACAGCACGAAAGCAATGTTTCAGAGGTTTACAGCTTTTCAGTGAAGAACTTGGGAACTGATTTTCCTTAGCATGATTACTAAACTAAAACCATTATGATAGAAGAACACGGGGGTAATGTCAAGTAAATCTATTAAAGCTACAAACAACAAAAATGTTACTGCTCCCAACCTAAATATAAAGGACCAAACTGAAGCAAAGCAGGAAAAATTCAAATTAAGTTGTCTGAACTATGGGAAGTTCACATAATTTAAACACATTAATTCACAATATTTAATATTACACTACTTAATATTCATTAATGTTTAATATTCTAAGTCCAAAAACCTCGTTAACATCTTGTAATCATCAGTACGCACACATTTACTGTAGGAACTACTGCCTCACAGCTGATATGCTTAGCAACATCGACATCAATCTGTAGAATGAATGTCTCGAACACAGTTAGAAAACAACAATCCCTAATATATTTACATAACAGCTTATTGCTTACACAACAAGTGTAACAAAAGCCAACTTGGAATCAAATAATGTAAGTTTTACTAGTTTGCCACCACACTACATTTCTAGCAAGTAAATTTCCAGACAACAACAGTTTCAGTTGCACACAGACTATGCTGAAGTTCACAGGCATTATCTATTTCAACTAGTGTGTGAGGATGCATACATGCAACTGATGTTCTATTACACAACACGCATGAAATGTAGATGATATACACAGAGACGTGCACATAATTATACCTGCATATTACACAATTTCATACCTCATTTCAAAGTAACAGACAGGAAATATTAGGTGTTCCAAATTAGCCTAACAAGACATCAATCAGAGCCCACCAAAGTGGGCTCTGTACATTTAAAAATTTAAATTTCTGCGTATTAGGGAGTGCCAGTTCCAGGACCCAAGAGATCAACTCAGGGAATTAGTTGCAGAGAACTGGCTCTTAGGATCTCATTATTAGATCCCCTTTATTTAGCAAAGTAAACAGGGCAGCTGTTCACAGCTTCAACCTGACTTTCTCCACTCCTCCCAAGATGACTATTCCTAACCTAATACATATTTTCTGGAATTTGGAAAACCTTGCCATTGCAGGTTAAAGCTGAAGCTAAACAGCACAGACACTTGCACTGCACCACAGTCAAAAAAGCTCACTCTTAAGACGTCTCAAAGAAAAAGGAGCAAAAAGGCAAATAATAGTATAAACTCCAACTACTTCTCTTGCCAACTGTTATATTTTACCCCTTTTAAGTTATGCTTTTCTTCTTCCATTTTCACCTCTTAAAGAACTTACTTCAACCAATGCATCTTTACAGGAATATTGTGCGAGGTCTCGAATTCCATTCATGAACTGCTTGTTGGCTGTACAGAATGCTTTCCCAGTATCAATCATCGCAATACAAAGCTTCACCAGCTAAAGAGGAAAAAATGACAAAGTGGAAGTTTTTTGTTTTATTTTTTTACACCACCATATAAATATGAAACACACTGAGCTTAGTTAAGTCTAAGAAACACAGATTTCAAAAGTTAAACTCTAAATTTAGAGTCCCACATTCTGTGAAAAGCTTTCTATTGTATAGTGACAGCTATAAAAATACTACTCTAGGTCAAATGATACACCATTAAGGTTACTACTCTTCATAAATTTTTTTTATTATTTTTTGTTTTATTGTTAACTGAGATTTTGCACATATTTCAAGAGAGAGGGCTATATGAGTGCAAAAAGCGCAGCAACTAAAACATAACTGGTTAGAACCCAAGCAAGTTAAGTGTTTTGTGGTTTCCGAGCCAAAAAAACCCGAAAGAAACCCACACCAGTTGTTTCATCTTGAGACACTCAGAATACAGGCACAGGAGAGCAAAAGGCTACCTGCACAAAACACAACTGAAGAGAGATGGTTACATCTCAGAAGGCAAAATCAATCATGTTTTCACTCATACAACAGACTAGTCTGTCTCTGATGGGTTTCCATCCCTACCACTCACTGCTTAGGTCAGCACCTTAGCTATCATGGTGCTGCAGAGTCTGAAATGAAGGTCATCAGTATCTTGGGATGGATGTTTTCCCACTTTTTGAACCATTTATGCACTGGGCCATTAATGAAAGAAAGAATGATTAGTGTAATCACTAAGATGCTCTCTTGAGAGAAGGCATATTATAATTGAGTTCCCCCACCCTAAACCAAACCGAGAATAAAATCAGAAGATTGAATCTTCGTCTCTGAAGGATTTTTCAAAGATGTTAGACAAATTTTCATGACGAACAACATAGAAGTACTTGATCTTATGTTGGGGCAAGGAAACCACCCAAGTGACCTTCCTGCCTTATTTACCCAGTAATTTTTATGTTGACTCAGATCCTCTCAGGAAAAGAAGAAATCCGAGCATCATCTCCCTCATTCTGATGAATGGCCAAGTTGCTTGAACAGTGGACAGAAAAATCACTACCAACATGACCCTTTTTTTCCTTCACTTTTGCTTATGGTTCACAATCCTGAACACAGTCTCCTTTACTCCAGAGGGGAAAAAAACCACAGATAATGTAGCCCAAAGTTACAATTGTGGGAAAATAAAACTAAGTTTAGCATGAACAACTGAGCAGAAAAAGTTATGAACCAAGTCTAGACAAATCATTACCCTCATGCCATAGTTACTTTAGCTCACACAAGAAGCTTGGCTTTTAACTTAAGCATTATACTAGATCACTTACACTTCACATTGCAATTAAACTACTTAAATACTTACCCTGTGTACTCGCTTTCTTGTCAGGGGAGCAAACAGGTTTGGGTGTTTTTGTTTTAAGAAGAACTAGGATACTGTCTCGGGGCAAAGAGTAATACTACAATTATAGCTTTTACATGATAGAATGGTATATTTGGTGCTGGCCTCCTGCAAGAGGCTGGGGGCAAGGCATTATTCATGCCCCTTAAGGAATTTGAGAATTCTTTTCCCCAAAAATGACCCTGTTAGACTGGTGGAAAACACAAACTTCCAAGATAGATTTTTCAGATCCTTTAAATACTTTAAATGGTTTAATTTACCAAACCACATTCATCACCCCTACAGTAAAAATGTGTCTTATACCCATCAGTTTCACCAAAATTCACACCAACTCAAAACGTGTCTTAAATTTATTTTGAAAGAGCAAATGGTTACATTATTAACTACAAAAGCTAGAAATATTATTACAAGAAGTAACAAAAAGTCTTCAGACTTAACACTACACTTGACACTGACTTTGTCTCTATCTTTCTGCAGCCAACTTGCAGCTGCACGAACAAAAGTTCATATTCAAAAAGTAGCTAAGGAGGTGAACAAATGACATCTGCCTACCACATTAAAACACAGGCAACAAATAATTTTAAACATTTAGCATAAAATGCTAAGGAAAGGAGACTTTTTACAGATGTAGAACAAAAATAAGCCACCCTCCAAATACTACTGGTTAGGAAACCAATAAATGGATTGTAAGGCCCTGAAAAGATGCTACATATAACCTTTTATATACATGCACAAAGCATGACAAAAAGCAGGATGAATTTTACGGTAGTTAAGTCCTCCAGACAAAAGTGAAGGATGTATCTCTCTCTCTCCCTCCTGCTGTGACTGTGCCGCAGACTACCAAAGACAGAAAGCATTGACTTTAAATCTCTAGAACAAAGAGCATCCAGATGTCCTCACAGTCTGCAGTTGTCATAAAACATAAGCTCTCGATGCAGGGATGGCCAACCCCTGGCTTTTAATTCACATGAAAGCTGAATTAGTTTGCATGCGGCTCCCATTGTGGGGCTGAGTCACATGAGTGCGAGGGGGCAGGGGGCCATACAGGCAGGAGGGTATTGCACAATCCAAACCCTCAGCTGGGGGAGAAAGCGAGTCCACGCTGGCTGTTGCTGCCCTTACTCAAGCTTGGGTCTCTGGGGCCCAGCTGTGCACTCGACCCAGATCCGTTCCCTCTGCTAGAGCAGAGCCCTTGGTCGGCGGCCACTGCCGCTTCCCAGCTATGAACTTTAAAACAAAACCTAAACGCATCTTTTCACATTTTTCAGAGCAGACATTGTTGAATTAAAAAGCTTACCTTGTCAAGTTTCAGTTCCAGTTCTGTCACATCTCCTTCTACTTCTTCTAAAGCTGCCCTGCATGGTTAAAAAAACGTTTTCCTGTAAAACTTTACACAAAAATACTCTGGGACTGGGGGAAGGGACATGTTAATTTAACCCATTTATTGCTACCACAGTTTCACTTAAATTTCAACTGTAAAACAGCATAGAGAACCACAAGAATTGCAGAAAATTTGACAGTAAAAAGAAGAAAGACTACATCACTGATAAAACATATAGTTTAGTAATAAAGATTTGAGATGAAATTTTATTAATCTTAATGTTTGTCACATTGAAATACATTTCCTCTATTATTGTATAGCCAATAGTCTGTAAGTTTGAAGGTAATAACAAAGGAAAGAAACTAAAAGTCCAAGTGAAATTTCTCAAGTAATTATTTTGGTGACTCTCCTGGCTCAAACCTGCAAACCTACAGATATTTAATGAATGACCTTGCAATGAGATTATGAAAAATATAGCATTTGCCGTGAGCCAACTGACTTAGCAGTAAGTTCAACGGCACGCTTGTTTATGTCATTTGCCTCTAGTCTAGACTGGTTGCAGCTTTCAGGCCAGTCAAATTTTACTCGCCAGTAAAAGTTGCTTTCATGAAGCATTTCTAAAGCATAACTTTTTTTGCTTGAGAGCTGGTGTTTCCTTTGATACCTCCTTCCTTGCTTATTGCTACCTCAAAAAATAGGACAAGACTGAGAAAGGATGACACTTTGTTCAGTGAGTTCATGAACGTTGTTTCATCAGGCTATTGCCCTGAGAGCTAGAATGTACTAATTTCTGGCAACAAATGCTACACTACAAAAAAAATCTATTCAACAAGGCTGGGATTTCACATTACACAGAGGTCGGTAGGAACAGCTGTATTCCCATCCCTTGCTCCCATCACAGGGCGCCTCGTTCTTTCAGTCATTCCAGCATAACTGTTCACGGAGCCACACTGTTCACCAGTAGTAGTCCATCTTGGGAAAAAAAAAGTAATAGGAAGTTTTCTGTAATGCTTTTTGGAAAATTGGATCAGCTACATTTCACATTTCACTCCTACAAAAAAACTCTTCCTGGAAAAAGTGAGACAGGCAGGGAAGTACGATTTGAAGCAGGAATTTCTTAAGCCAGCTTTAACCCTGAGGGGAGAGTACACAGAACCACAGCTTTACTGTCTCTTCCTAATTCCGTTCTAGTTCACATGAGTTCAAGCCAAGAACAAAAAATTTTAAAAAGACTGGACCAGGCCCCAAACTCAGGAAAAGCAGTTTTTACAAGAATAGTTCTGAAAGACACTGCCAGTTGCCTGCAGTTCTCAAACACTGAGCATGACATTCCCAGCTTTTTGCAGATTTCCACTTACACATAGTTGCATTCCGATTTTTGTATCTAAAGGCATTCCCACAGTTACATCCTAGGTTTTATATCTAACCACATTCCTGCACAGTTACATTTTGGCTTCTGCCTCTTCTTTAGCTTTAGACCATGAAGGATTTCAGGCAACATCAATTTCTCTTTTACTTTATTTTCTTCCATAAATGATTAACTTTCATTTAAGTCTCTAGAGTTAAATCTTGTTTCAGAGAGCATTACAGAGGCGGGGGGGGAGGGAAAGAACAAAGTAAGGAAAAGTATTTCAATATTTAGACTGCAATTTTGTATTTGTTTGTTTATAATCACAGTGCAACCAATTCTTATTTGTTTCTCTGGCATTAACATAAAAGCACAATTAAGTAGCTTGTTTACAGAATTGCAGCAAGATCTGATAAGAATTATTTTTTTTAGTGTCTTTAACTAGCAAAGAGTTCTAGCTCCACAGGACTTAATGAACTAAAAAGTCTAAGATTCAAGATGAAGAAGAGAGATAAAGGCAGTTAGAGCAGGCAGAATGAAGACAACACATCTGCTCAGTCATTAAAGCTCTATTCCAAGGGGAAAACTTTAAGACAGAATAAGCCCAACTGAAGGAGAAGTAACAACAGAACATCACAAGACTGAAAAGATGAGGGGCAGATCAAGAAAGAAAGATACAACACAGCAAAAAGAGGTATCATGGGAGAATACAACACAGCAAAAAGAGGTATCATGGGAGAAGGGAGACATACAGCCCCTCCACTGCCTGATGGTGTTGGGTCAACGGTTGGACTCAATCTTAGAGATCTTTTCCAACCTTAATGATTCTATGATTCTTTGCAGATCATCTTTGAATGACCACAGGCCCCTGAAGCACCAAGCCAGTTCTCCGGGCTATTTCCCACCACTGCCACATGATGGAGGGAAGGCACATCTGGGCCCGACAGCTGGATATGGATCAAACAGCTGTTAGGTTCCAGTCAAACCCTGTTTCAACTCCTTGTTTCTTTGCATAGAACTGGCTACTTTCACTGTTTCCATCATATAAAAACTAGCAGAGGAGTTATTCTCATGCAAACATCTTCACAGTATTAGACCAACACTGCAATACAAGCATAAGAGCAACGGAGAGGATGCCCTCAGACTATCAGAATACAGATACATAGATCTAATAATATATTAACACCATCTAGTCACAAAAATTGTTTTCATACTGGGTTAGGGAACACATAAAGAACAGCTGATCTGAGCTGTACTATGTTAATGCTATCCTTGTTTTTCTTAATTTAATACTTTTTGAAGCCACAGAATACAAAGGTGCATTTCTCTCTCTGAAACAGATCTGTGTCAGGAATTATTTAAAGTTCACAGAAAATTGTCATAATTCCAAGTAAATCTCATGTCCACAGCCAAGACCTGATCTCCAGCTATAAACACAGGAAGTGGTCATAAAACAGCTGACGACCAAGCGCCAGACCTGACATGTACCAAAAATGTTGCTCCTTAGTGAAGTGGGAGCTGGGAGCAGGGTTTGCGTCAGGGTAATCTTAGCCAGAAGGCTCTGGCATTAGGAATAAGGATCAAATCTGTCTCAGTATATGAATCAAAGTCAAACATCTGTGGCGTCCCGAGATGTTCAAACACTGCATGGCAATGCACAAAACCAGAACAGCTGCTTAAGGGTGGAGGACAGCTTTTATAAATGAGCAGTCTCCCATACTCTTCATGCTCCGTAACAAGGACTTTCAGGAATGTGCTTCTCTCCTCTGCTGTTTCTCCTCTCCTTTGTGTGCCCCCCCCAAAAAAAAAACAGTTCAGTTTGCTAGATACAGCTTCCTCTACAGACGTAGCTGCAATGCAGGAGGAATATAGGAGATGACGGAAGAAAATTCAAGACTTGACTTAGCTGCCTTTTTAAATGAGGATAATGTCACCCATTACCTAGCCCAGCATACAATGAAGGAAAGCTGAACTCTCTGGTGTCCATCACAGTGCTCCCCTTAAGTGACCAGCAAAAGACTTGCTTCCAGGTTAAGGTACTACGGAACTCCAAGAATCCCAGAAACCAAACAGGAAGATGACAGCTAAACTCTACTCTAGAAAGAGAATCGGTCACTCTTAGGCCACAAGCTGCAGACATGTGCTAAGGAAATAACTTAGCCTGAACTAAACCACTACACGCTGCCAACCATAATGCCAAGCACACTGCGGCCACAGACAAGGGTCTGCTTGGCCTGTTTACTCTTACAGTGTAAAGGGTGGCAATGGTCAACACTTTTAAAGTCAGCTATTCTTCAAACGATATCTAACTGCCATCGAAGCCACATCCTGCCTTTAGTCCTTCACTCATTCATCATGTTCTAGCTTGCATTTTTAGACTGCGTTCCTGAAAGTGAGGAGGCTGGAATCAGTAGTCGTTATAAATTAGATGCTGACAAACAACAAATTGGAGAAGTCAAAGCTGCTATGGATAATTAACAATTAATTATTGTTAATTCTAGAATTAACATGTCCCACTATAAAAAAATTCAAAAGAATAAAAGCCCATTAATAAAATATTTTTCCACAGTTTGGTGGGTTTTTTTAAATTTTAATTGAGGAAAGCTTAAAGCCTAAATCTTAGATTCACCTCTTGAATATACTTTCAGAAGAACAGGAACAAGTACACAAAATCAACTGCTATTCAGACTGGGACTTCTGAATATATTCATGTATTTGGACTCATAAAATGGGAATAACAGATTCTCACCATCACAATTTCAATAATATTACTGCTAAAGTCTTGTCTTCAAATCTTGGAAAGACACAACTCTCCCACTTGCACATATTCTATGCAGAATAGCCCCTTAATGCACAACTCTGACTTCACTGCAGATAACGTGTCCTTTCAACTAACATCCACTACAGTTCAATAGTATAAAGCTGACGTGCAAGACTAGCCACAAATTATCAACAGCTAAATCGAAGTATTTGAGTACACATATTCAAGTATGACTACATTCACATTTTCTTTCATTTACTGCAGTATAATTTCATGAGACTGGCTGTATATCAGAAGACTAAATAAAGAAGCATTACCACGCTCCACTGCCAGTGGAGAACAATTCAGCCATTCAGCCTCGGAGGGACAGAGAACATGGAACGTGAACCAACAAGCACACGGTACTGTGATTAACTCCACTTCGTCCTCTTCAGTTGCATTTCATTTTAAACTTCAACAACATCAGGAAAACTGAAAAGCAGTTACAGAGATATGTACTGCTCACTAATTGCTGGATAAAGCTGGTTCGTAACTGCCTAAAGTAAAAGCAATTGATCATTCTAACTCTCATGTTAAATACAAACCCAATACAGACACTAGTAGAGATTAGCTGCAAGCTATCTGTGCATCCCACAGCAGTATCACAGCTCTAGATGTGTCTAAAAATCAAACTATATCAAAATTACCAAGCACTCATGCTATAGCTTTATGTGATACCAGACTTAGGTTTCAACCTGTGCTGCCCAGACTCAGATGAAAAGGCCAGCAAGACAGTGACTTCTAATGCTTTTGATCCCAATTACCAGACTGAAACAAAATCAGCAGTGGAGTTGCTCATGGACCACTCCTGACAGTGATTGTATTCAGCATCCTCAGTGACAGAGGGAAATAGGAGTAAATCAGTCACTAAGTTTCTTATAAT